GAATTTAATTTTTGTTCAATATAATTCTGTACAAAACACCAGTACTGATGATGTTTAAGTTCTTTAGTATCTGATATATGGAAGCGTCCACACATGCAAAAATATAATATTGTCATACAAAAAGAGACAAAAAAAATTAGATTCAGATCAACAGGAAGATCAGAAGGTATGATATCCATTTAAGCAAAAAAAAAAAAAAGGTACCTGTAGTAGATTCTTGACCAGATACAATGCTTCACGAATGAGATATACTTTAACTTCGCCGAATGGTCTTCAAATTAAGCTTAGCCTTCAAATTCATGGTTCATCTTGCATGTCCTGCATGACTATATTTTATAAATATGCATATAGTTATGAATTTGATGTGATTTCCTGATATTTTGTTAACATTTATATAGTCACATAATAATAATAATATATTACATATATATATGTTGAATGTTTAAACAATGAGATATACATACATAATACATGATTGTCATAGATTTCAGCCGAAGCATGTGTGAAGGAGAAGATGAGACCGGTAGCCACCAGATTCTGCGAGAGATGAAAGTCGACGCCGAATGCGTTTGCTCCCAAATCAATCTGCCAGAAAATCCAAAGTTTCAGAACCAATATGTATCATCTTCATCCAAAAAAAAAAATGTAGGAAAAAGAGCATTTTGAAGTGAAAGTTCACATAAATCTGATATAAAAAAAACACGGAGAAGTGCGAAAATCCGAAAAGTATCTCCCGAAACAGAAGCGCCGATGGAGAAGAACCTCCGTGCACCTAGAGCGAACAATTTTGAGTCCCATAAGATACATTTCATCATGTCTCCTTCCGGATGATCCTTTCCTAAGCCCATCCTGTAGAGAACGCAGAAAAACAAATACGAATATGACAATATAAAATTTAATAAAAAAATCACATGCATAAAAGAGATTGATTCATGCAGAAAGAGCAACACAAACACTTGCTAAATCACAAGTCAATTAGCAAGATTATTGTTTTATTGTTCAAAGAATCGTCCTTGCTCAAAAAGTCCGTGTAACCCACTAAATATTAAGCATCAAATCTCTTTAATTCCATTTACTGTACTGATTAGTGGGCTAATGAAAACTTGTGACCGTTTTTTTATTTTCATTAGTGGCTAATAAATATTTTTGCCACAAAAATATAAATTTATTTTGTTAATTTTATAAACCAATGAGATTTAAGCAAAAAGACATGTAGGATGCTGATTTGTCTTCACCAAATCACTCCAAATCCAACTTTTATATATATTATATATTATATATTATATATATTATATTAGTTTGTATTATGATAATTTTTTATTTCATTTTCTCGCGTTTGGTTGTTTTTTTTAATTAGTATTATTGTCTTATCATATTCTATATTATTGATTATATTGTATATAGGGTATGAATATTTTAATTGTATAATAAAAAATACAAAAATGATGAGATGGAACATGGCTTTAGCAAGCAATTGATGGAAAATGATGAATCTTTAAAAAGCAATTGAATAATCAAATGACCAATAAAATTTGATAAGCTTGATGATGTGGATGCTTAGGTGGCTTCATGAGAAGCCTTCAAATCTAATTATTTATGTATAAGACTAGTCGAGGAACCGCGCGATGCGCGGGTTATTCTGGTTTTTTATTTATTATTTTTTATAAAATTTTAATGATATTAATATTATGAAAATGAGATAAACAATTTATTTGATATAAAATATATATTTATAAAATTAAATATTATAACTTCACATTTGAATAAAAAGGTTGAAAAAATATGATAGTGGTTATATAAACATAGCTTAGATTCAATGTCAATGATTTATTCTGATTATACTCAATATCAATCTTTATTTTTTTGGTATGTGCTAAATATTTAGTTACATGATAAAAATATAAATAAAATAATTGTTTTTAAACATTGATGAGCTTGGAAAAAATTTCATCGGATAACAATAATGTATATATAAAATATATATATAAAAACTAATAAACTATATAATCACTCTAAAATGGATGGTGTCTAATTGGTTGCTAACACTATTTAATTTCTTTGGTCTCCTTATGACCATTTGATTTCGGTTTTTATTATTATTTTTCCATATATATATATATATAGATATTTGATTTTTTGTTTTTGTTTTTTTATGTCGAATACAAATATTTTTAAATATCCGTGTTTTTTATGGATATTCGAAATTACGAATATTCGAAAATTATGAATCAGATACGAATATAGAAATATAAATGAGAATATTTGTATCCGATATGTATCCACCTCTATTATAATACTATAATATACCTTTTTAATATACATTTCATAACTCAATTAGAAATAAAATAAATAAATAAATAAATATTTAATAAGTAAAAATCAAATACAAAAATAAATATTAAAATTAATAAACAAATCTATATATAAGTGCGATATGTATAATAAAAGACAAACTTTGATAAAAGTATAATAATTAATTGACTATAATAATATTGCTATCTATATAGCAATATCATTATCATGATCACGTTAAAAACTTGTATAAATATAATTAGTAAAAAAATATAAATATTTTAATTTATTTATTTGCTTATCTATTTTATAAATAATTTATCACGATTATTTATTTGTGCAGTATATTTCAATTTCATGCATTTAACTCATTAATTTCTTGTTTGTAATTTTTATATTTGATATACTATTTCACTAATTTGTAAGATTTGTTACATCAATTATTTTATGTTTTTTTTATATTTTTATTGGTAATTTAATTGAATCGATAATAAAACAATTAAAATAAGTAAAGTTTGGTAATTTAGATCGATCAAACACTTATTTATTTCAAAATCATAAAAAACATTATTAAAAAAATAAATTCTTAATAGTAATTCTTTATAGATTAGTTAAAACAACTCTTGCAACTAAAAAGATCAGGTATATAATACAAATAGACAATGTTGATATATATTTTTATTATCTTTTTAATATACGTTCGCTCCATTTGTTATTTTATTTGTTAATGGTTTTTTTTGTTAGTTTGTATTATTAAAAGAGTTAAATAATGAATTTCAAATATAAGATTGAATTTTAGTAAGTTGTAAAGTTTTACTTTTTTTTAGGTTTGTCCCATTTTTATTTTTTTTTTAATTTTTTTTAAATAATCCAGTTACATATATACATATATTATTAGTAAATAATCAAATAAGTATAAAAATAAATTTGTATTTAAGCTTTTTATATTGTTTCATTCAGAAAATATCATTGACGATATTGCATAAACACTCGTGGAATGTCAATAAATCAGAACTTATATTAGACTCTCAAAACTCACCTCAAAACACTTGTGCTCTCAACCTCAAATTAAATTTTTTGACGATCCTTCTAACTCTCTTGTCTGTCGAGTTTTGTGATATAAACTTATAAAGTTCCTCATTAAATGTGCTTTTTACTCCAAACAGTGTCTCACTTGCTTCAAAATGATTCCGCCTTTAGTGGAGGACAACACATCCATAAGTATATAATGATGGCGTAGAAAGATTTGGGTATTATAAAGATTTGAATATTTTATACAAAACAGAGTAGAATTTCAATGGGTAACAATAATTTTTTTTAAAAATATATATTGATTATTAAATTAAATTATTATACAATCATCATTACACATTATATTGTTATATTGTCATATTAAAGAAGTAAAGTTTTGGGGAAAAAAATTGTGTCATCCATGTTTCATACCAGATTATCTATTCTATTTTATATCACAATTCTGCCAAAGAAGTGCATTGTTTTATATTGCATGTCGAAGTGATATAGACATTTAATGGGGTTTTGGATCTTAATTGAGTTATTCTACCATTGAATTAAATCAGTGTTGCAATACATGATGATATCACAAAAATATGATACTTTTTATGATGATATCATGGGAGATACGATCATTTTCGCTATCGAGACATTGAAATTGTTGTTCTTTTTAAAAATGTTTTTCTCGTTCAACATATGTTCTATACGGTAGAATCTATAATGACATCGTACATCGTACAATACTTTTTTTCATTCAAATAGGCAAATAGTTTAGATGTTTTTCTTTCTCCCATAGTTGATACAACTGCAATTTCTCTATCAACTAAACATGTTCGATTTGACCAAAAAATAATAAAACAAAGACATTGTAAGATTAAATTATTGTAAAATTATATATTTTAAAAAACAAAAAATTATAAAATATTAATATCATTGTATAAATTGTGTATGAGATCGATAATAATGATTTATTTTAAAAAAATAATTCTAAGGTAATATTAAAAATAATATTACTAAATACTACAGTTAGCGTTTGTTTTAAAAAGGGGTAATCGCTAAAAAAAATACTATACTTCTTCGAGGTGTACGAAAAAACTCTGTACTTTTTTTATTACCAATTAAACCATATACTTGATGTGATTAAAATATAGACTATAATCAATGATCTACATACAAATATTGACCAATACATATGAATATATATATACATATATACACACAAATACATATACACATATATACACATAAATACATATATATATATATATGTATACACATATATATATACGAAAATTAAAAATTAAAAATTAAAAATAAATATAAAAAATACATTCATACATATACAAATATAAACTCATGTACATGGTAAAAATTAGAAATGTATACATACATGCATACATGTGCGGATCTATGTTATAAGCTATGGGGGCATATGTCTCCACTCATTTTATTTAAAAAATTTGATTTCATTATAAATTTCATAAATTTCTAACAAAAATTGTTAAATGCCTCCATAAAAAATTTTAAATTTATCTCTTAATTTATAATAATTTTTATATTGCCCCCATTAAACTTTTCTAGATCCGCCCATGCATGCGTATATACAAATATTATACATATATATAATATTTTAGCCAGGCTAAATTAATAAATTAATCTATGTATATATGCACGCATGCATACATACAAACATATATACATATAAACATTCAGAGGGCACATACAGTGAGATTGACCAACAGAGTAAAATGAATGGCACGGGTATCATACGTTTCCACATCTATGAGGTCCATCTTTTTCAGCTTCTGCAGATGGTCGGTAACATATGGGTCGAAAACACTGCCGATGAAGCTGTAAACTTGGGCAAAGTCTGGTAAAACTGATAAATGAAAAATGACACTATCAGGTAAAAAATGTTAAAAATAATAAAGATGAGATGAAAGAGGAGAATATCAACAATGCCCACCTCTTAATGAATGGCCATGGTTGCCCTGTGCACTCGTATTCCTGTTGGGTCTTGTTCTAGGAGTATTTTCGGAGCTGCTAGAACAGTTGTTAGTCTGTACTGTCCCTGTTGTACCCACCAAAACACAGAAGAAAATTCAGGTGTTGAGCTTCTGGGTTGTCGCCATCGTTCTTCTGAGAATGTAAAGACAACGTGTTCTTCATGAATGAGCGAATTGGTGGCCAACCCACTACCTGTGCCCTGCCAAAGTCAAAAGCTTCCCTTCTTATTCCAATCAAAAATCCATAAACGGAAACTAACACCTAAAAATCTCCATAACTATTCATTTAATTACTCTTTGAAAATATTCATGTAATTATAGTGATTTATATTTTATTTTCATTTAATACACCATAAAATTTGTTTTACCCACATCACCCGTGACTTGAATTTTCACAAAATCAGGGATTTTCCCCTGCAGAAGAACAATCCCAGCACTCTTCACGACCTTGAGATCATAATCACTCCGATTCTCCAACCACAAACTCATGTTTGTTCCGCCGGCAATGATCATCGAGTTCTGTCCGTCCGACTGCAGAATCACCAGGGCGTGCCCCGTCGGTGCCTCCGTACCTGACCGGACATAGTCAGATGAATCCCACACCCGACGGTAGAGCCTCCTCGAACAGCTTTCCGTGCGCGTTGTCTCTGCCACTCCCGATGAAGAACGTCGTATACAGCAACCTCTGAACGCACGCTGCTTCGTTCGCACCTTATATGGGAGTTTGTTTTTGGGCTAATGAAACGTTGTGGCTTTTGTGTTTTAATTTTTTAATCTACGTAATCCAAAATTAAATGATTTTGATTAACTCCAAGCTAATTGTATTCATTAGTAAAACGTATCGCGTAACAAATTTTACTCCACTAAGTTAGCCTAAATTAAATGACCATAATGAAAGTATAAACATATCAAGCTCAACCGGATTGCAACGTTTCAAACTCTTCTTCTACTGGCATTCTAAATCCAGGTAATAACACATATCAATCTCATTTATTCTAATAATAATTGTCAGCGTTAATGGATTAATGGGGAATACTAACGGTTTATTTTATTAGTAGGTTAATAAATAAAAGTCAGAATTTTAAAATTTGTGACGTGGAATTTTAAAATCACATATATATATATATATAGATTTATAAATTTTTTATCGTAACTTTTGTGTAAATAGATATAGAATATAGAATATTTATTTGATAAAAAGAAAATGTATGTTTTATTGGTTTCTATTGTAATGTAAAATCATATATATTAGTTTCTATTATAATACCGATTGAATGTTTTTATTATTTATTTTATTGTAAACTGTAAGCACCAATTATATATAGGTTATGGATTAATTATCTTAATGAAAATGTTGTTTAAATAGATATAGAATTTATATATATATACACTCCACATGATATTTACGTGCAAGTTTGTTTTATTTAAATTGAACAAGTAAAAATAGATTTTACAAAAAGAAAACGATGTGACACGTACAACACAAAAAAAATAGTAAGCAATATTTTATAGTTTTCTTACTAAAGCCACATCATCTTACAATTCATCATTTTTATAATTTGTATTTGTATTTATTGTGCAATTGAAATATCTATGTGTATATATAATTTGTCACTACCCTTTATAAAAAATAGATAATAAAAAACATCCAAACATTATAATAAAAACTAATATATATATATATATGATATTACATTACAATAAAAATATCTATTTTTCCTTATCAAATAAAATCTTTTATATTCTATATATATATATATATATATAAACACAATTAAGGAAAAATAGATATTTTTATTGTAATGTAATATCATATATATATATATATTAGTTTTTATTATAATGTTTGGATGTTTTTTATTATCTATTTTTTATAAAGGGTAGTGACAAATTATATATACACATAGATATTTCAATTGCACAATAAATACAAATACAAATTATAAAAATGATGAATTGTAAGATGATGTGGCTTTAGTAAGAAAACTATAAAATATTGCTTACTATTTTTTTTGTGTTGTACGTGTCACATCGTTTTCTTTTTGTAAAATCTATTTTTACTTGTTCAATTTAAATAAAACAAACTTGCACGTAAATATCATGTGGAGTGTATATATATATAAATTCTGTTTATCTTTTAATATGATTTTCTTAAAATATTATCATTCTAATATTTAAAACTAAAAAATAATTTTTTATATAATAAAGACTAAATTTATCCTTGTTGAATAATAATAATAATAATAATAATAATAATAATAATAATAATAATAATAATAATAATAATATGTTTACTCATTTTTTGTATTATATGTGCAACATAATTATTTTTGTTTTATTGATCAATGAGAATTAAATAAATTGCCACATGGATGATGACATGGAGATGAGGTAGCTTCACCAGAAGCCTCCAAATCAAACTTTTATATATATAGATTTTACCATTTTGTAGACTAAACGCCCCAGCGAGCGCGTTTGATGTTTTGTAAATGCATGAGCAACGTAAAAACTTCATTCTTTCCCTTTTCCCCCTTTTTTTCGGCCTTAAGAATAATTAACGAACGTAACACGTATCAAAATTATGGATGAAAATATTTTATGAGAAAAATTGGTTTATTTTATTGTGTGGTTTGACGAAAATATAAAAGAAAAATCGAATTACCAACAAAAGAGTATTAATTAATTTTAATGTGATCAATAATTGGGCCTTTATATGGTTTTGGGCTATTTAAGTTACTTTAGAATATATTTGGGCTTTTATAAGGCTCTAGGCCCAACTTGTTTTACTATGTGTCTTTATATTGCTACAGGCCCAACATATTATATTGAGAATTTATTTGGGCCTTTATATGGCAACGGACTTTAAAAAAGCCTTTATAAGGTTTTATTTGGGCCTTTATATTTGTGGAATAAAATGTATATAATGAAATACATGCATAATACGGCCATAAAATTAAAATTCATATGATTTCGGTGAGACTATAAAATTTATATTAGGGTTTTAATTCCAACTTTATTTTTGGCGGTCCAAATTTTTTAGGCGCATGGATAAGCAGATTTGAGTGATTTCCCATTACAGTGGGATGGAAATCCGATCAACAATCTAATTCGAATGCAAGTTCTAAATCGAACTAAATATTTAAATAAAGCTATGGATTTAGAGATATTTATGCACTATATATATATATATATATATATATATATATATATATATATATCACAAGAGTTTCTGAGAAGTTTCTAGTGAGAGAAAATGAGAGGAAACAGAGAGAAAAACAGGGATGAATTTCTCGTTATCATTCATTGTACTGAGCTCGACCTTAAATACAATTCTGGTGTATACTTACACCGATACAAACTATCTCTGTCATATACATTTGCGGTTATTTCTGTTACAATATAACAATATATCTAATATGCCCCCCTCAAACTTAATTCTTCTTATCAGGAAGAAATAAGCTTGACACATTTAACCGCTGAACCAAGGAATGAAAGAGAGATGGAGAAACTGACTTTGTAAGGAGATCCGCCAATTGATTCAGTGACTGAACATGCATTGTTCGAACCAAACCATTCTGCAATTTCTCCCTTACCAAGTGACAATCGAGCTCAATATGCTTTGTTCTCTCATGAAAAGCCGAATTTGATGCAATATACATCGCTGATTTGCTGTCACAATATAAGTTGGCTGGCCTCTGAACTGGAATCTGCAAGTCTTTCAGCAAATTGTCAATCCAAACAACTTCATAGACAGTATTGGCAAGTGCCCTGTACTCTGCTTCAGTACTGCTTCGTGAAATTGTTTGTTGTTTCTTCGACTTCCAGCTTATCAAAGAATCTCCCAGAAAAATGCAAAATCCAGTGACTGACCGTCGAGAATCCGGGCAAGTCGTCCAATCCGCATCCGAAAAAGCATTCAAACGAAGTTCTGACTTTGCTGAATAAAAGAGACCTTGTCCAGGATTATTTTTCAGATACCTCAAAACCCTTTGTGCAGCCTTGAAGTGTTCTTCTGTTGGATTAGAGAGATATTGACTTAGTTTATGAACTGAGAATGTTATATCTGTTTATGAACTGACCAATTGCAGAATCTGTGTGCTCAACTTTCCGAGAAACTGAATATTGGTGGATCTCATATCACTGTTGAAGGGGCACCTGATCACTACTCTGGTAATATCCAATCATCTGTTATATGTTCTTCTGCTTCACAGAATCAGTCATTAGGATCTTCTGCATGGGTCCTAGATTCAGGCGCATCCACGCATGTTTGCTTTGATAGAAATTTGTTCAGTGAGTTTAGAAGCATTTCTCCAGTATTAGTTACATTGCCAAATAGACAACACATAACTATTACCACTACTGGCACTATAAAGCTTAACAGTCATATTTCTCTCTTCAATGTCCTTTTCATTCCATCTTTTTCTTTCAATCTGTTAAGCATTTCAGCTCTGTTAAAACAATCATCGCTAATCGTTCTTTTCACCCCGGAATCCTGTTTTGTGCAGGATTCTACTCAGGGTTGGATGATTGGGAAAGCTAATCTCCACCACAACCTATACATTTTCGACCTTTCCTTCATTCCTGTCTCAAATACCAACTTTTCCTGCCTCCTGACACTAAGCTTTGGCATCAACGATTGGGGCATCCCTCATTTCCCAGATTAAAGACCATTTCTACAGATCTTTCTCTTGCTAAATGTATATATTTGTCTCATTGTCAGACCTGTCATTTAGCAAAACAGAAACGATTACCTTTTCCTTCACAAAATAATATGTCTCAGAACCCATTTGATTTGCTCCATATTGATGTTTGGGGCCCTTTCTCTGTTCTTTCTGTTGATGGTTGTAGATTTTTCCTCACCATCGTTGATGATTGTTCTAGAACTACTTGGGTTTATATGCTACAAAATAAAAGTGATGTGTTGCATATTTTTCCGGCTTTTGTAACTCTTGTGGAGAATCAGTTTCGAACCACTGTTAAATCTATCAGATCTGACAATGCTAATGAACTGCGTTTCTCGGAATTATGTCAGCAAAAGGGTATAACACATTACTTCTCATGTGTTAGTACCCCACAGCAGAATTCAGTAGTTGAAAGGAAGTATCAACACATACTTAATGTGTCTCGAGCTTTGATGTTTCAGTCAGGACTTCCTTTACAGTATTGGACAGATTCAGTACGCACTGCTATTTACCTGATAAATAGACTGCCTTTTCCAGTGTTGAAGAATAAAACGCCATATGAGATCTTCCGAGGTAATCCTCCATCATACTTGCATCTTCGAGCTTTTGGATGCTTATGTTACAATATAACAATATATCTAATAATATATATAACATGAAAGATGAAATCCCAATGGGAGAGTTGTTTCCCTTTTTTTGGAATGAAATTCCATTGCCTTTTTTTTTTTTGTCTTTATGTGTTTTGTCTCTTGTTCCATGAAGAATTCCAAGTAACAACCTCCCACTAACCCATTTAAAACGTCCTTGGAAATTGTTCTCTCTATTAAATCCAATATTTTAGATTTTATAAAAAAATCAAATATTTTAGATATGTTAATTTTGTAAAAATAAAATTTAAATACACATATTTTCGAGATGGATTCGTTATTTATTCCGACTTTATAACCATTCTTATTATTTGTAAGGAGTTTATTCAATTCATTATCACAAACAAGTAACAATTCAAATATTATTGTTGTTGAAAAGTTTATTTGGATTTGGTTTGAGACCAAATAGTCAAAGCAGGTCAGCGGAATATATATGCAGTGGCATTGAAAGGATGAGAAAATTGCAAATTGGTCAAACTCTTTTGTAATCATATATAAAATATTACGGGTTTGAATTGAAAATAATTTAGTTGACTTGAGGAAATTTCAACTAAAAAAATTATGAATACAAATTAATTATGTCTGATTTGTTTAGTTTATAATTTAAAATAATTAAAATTTTTAAAGCTAATTTCTTACCTCTGTTGATTTCAATAAATCTAAAAACTCGAACTAGTAGCTCAATAAATTCGATTATTAAAATTTTCTAAACTCGTTAGTATAAATATATGAATCAAGTTAATTTTTTACATTCTATTAATTCAACTGGTTATTCTTCGTAACCAAATTCAATGAAATAGGAAATAGGAGTATTCTACGATATGCTTTTATCATAATAAAAAAAAATAGCTGAATCAAATAAATGTGCATTTTTACATAATTACAAAATAGTAGTCACACACACACACACATATATGTATGTATATATGTATGTATGTATATAAATTGCTAAAATGTGAAGAACATTGGTGGAGCAAGTACCTACGAGCAGAATCACTGTTTCGAAAATCGAACCCTCTCTCTCTCTCTCCAACTCCATTTTCATAAACCAAATCCAAATTCCAAGGGTTTTTCAAAAATCTCTCCCTCTCTACAATAAGTTCGTGAGCTGGGTTTAAATTTCAAATTTTTCTCACCAATCGATTCTCTTTCTTCTTCATCCTCTCCACTTTTCCATCTCTGAGCCCACGCCGAAGCTCCATCATACCCCATCAATGGCGTCTTTCAAATAGAGCCGTGACAATCGCCAATGCTTATCCCCTTTCCATGCGCGAATGCCACTTCTTTCTTCGTCTCTCACAAAAGGGTTTCATAAAAGCCCTCCCTTTTTCCGATCTATTGATGGGTTTTTTATTATCCGTGAGAGAGAATCTTCTCCAAGAGTAAAATTCTTTTGAAATTTCTGGCGTCACGATGGTTGCCGAAGCTTGGATTGTGAAAATGGGTTATCAGGTGAGTGCCAATCTCAAGCACGCCCTGCTTCTAGAACCTTCCACCAAAAAGAACTCTAAGAGCTCTGTCACTAAGCGCACAATCGGTATTCTCTCCTTCGAAGTAGCAAATGTCATGTCTAAAACCTTACACCTTCATCGTTCCCTGTCCGAATCCGAGATTTCCAAGCTTAAAGGCGAGATTTTTCGTTCGGAAGGGATCAGAAATCTGGTCTCCTCCGACGGAAACCGCCTATTCGAACTCGCCCGCGCCGAGAAACTCGACGACCTGGACAGTGTCGCGAGTGTGGTCTCTAGGTTAGGGAAGAAGTGTACGGAACCGGCTTTGCAGGGATTCGAGCATGTGTATGACGATATAGTGAATGGGGTTATCGATGTTAGGAGATTAGGGTTCTTGGTGAAAGATATGGAGAGTATGGTGAGGAAGATGGAGAGATATATCAATGCTACTTCTGGGTTGTACCGTGAGATGGAAGTTATGAATGAGCTTGAACAGGCCACGAAGAAGTTCCGGCACAGTCAAAGCCAGGAGAGCCGTAAAGCTTTCGAGCAGAAGCTGATATGGCAGAGACAGGACGTGAGGCATTTCCATGAGATCTCGCTCTGGAACCAGACATACGACAAGGTCGTGGAGATGCTGGCGAGGACTGTCTGCACGATCTTGGCTAGGATTTTCGTCGTTTTTGGGAATTCATCGACGACAGCTGGTGCTGGCTTTGTCAAGGAAGGTTGTTTCCCTTCAAAGGTAATAGCTTTGGAACAGATTGATAGAAGCTGTGATGTCGGTTTTGTTTCGGGGGCATTGAAGAGAGTTCATAGCAATGGAGTTAAGTCTGATCCAGTGAAGAGAACTGCGTCTAGTTTTAAGCATAAGATAGATCCACAGAGAGGTGAATTGGATCAGTTTTCTCGTGCAGGTGATTTCAATTTCCCTTGTGGGACTAATCCAGGGAGGTTGTTCATGGATTGTCTCACCTTGAGCAGCTCGGTTTCTAGGATAGATGACAATGATGATGATGATGATCATGATCGTGATCAATCCTCTGGATTGAAGAAAGATCTTTCCGATGATTCTTATTTCAGTCAGATCCATATTACCGCATCTCAAACTTGTCGAACCAGCAAGTCTGGTCGGAAAAGCAGGCTAATGTTGCAAGCTCCGCCTTGCTCCATTGGTGGATCTGCCCTGTCTCTGCACTACGCAAACGTAATAATCATCATAGAGAAGCTTCTCGAGTACCCTCGTCTAGTAGGCGAGGAAGCAAGGGATGATCTTTACCAGATGCTACCGACAAGTCTGAGAGCTTCTCTCAAGAAAAACCTCAAGTCCCACTTCAAGAACGTGTCGATATACGACGCCCATCTCGCCCACGATTGGAAGGAAACACTAGACGGGATCCTCGGGCGGATTTCCCCGCTCGCCCACAACATGATCCGGTGGCAGAGCGAGCGAAACTTCGAGCAGCAAGAACAGCAGATAGTGGAGAAGAGAAGTAACGTTCTTCTCATTCAGACATTGTACTTCGCTGATAGAGACAAGACAGAAGCAGAGATCTGCAAGCTTCTTGTCGGGTTAAACTACATTTGCCACTACGAGCAGCAGCAGAATGCTTTGTTGGATTGCACCAGCAGCTTCGATTTACATGGAGGTTAGGTTCTAGAATGTTCTTTTTTTTTTTTTTGCGGGGAAAATATTCATTGTTCTTAGTAGATTCCATGGGCATGTATTTTTGAAACAGAGTGAACACTGAATATTCAGTGTTGGGTTCCATTCGTAGTATAAACATAAAAATCTAATAAATATAATTTCTTTAAAATTAATTTTAAATTTAAAACCGAAATGAATATAAAATAATAAAAAAACTTATTTTTAAAAATGTGAATAAAAATTAAATCTAAACCAAAATTGAAACGAACCTAATCTAATACAAATACCAAATGAATATTATTTTTCTTTAAAAAAATGAATAGTAAAATAACATAATCAAATCCTAATCAAACCCTGAAATAATGACTATCAAATTTCCATCAACAATGCTGTTACAAAGGAAAAATAAAAGGAAATATCGGAATTATTTTATGAAATAGCTTTGTACGGAACAATTTTATTTATTGGGCCGGGTTTTTCTAAGCCCAATTTATATATTGCTTTTTGGGTCATCTTGCTCATCTTGGGCCTAAGAGTTACAAACTTTCTTGCGTTTTCTCGGCAACCAACCACAACGTTTCTTCAAAGGATCGAAATTGAGAGCATGCTAGTGACGCTGGTTTCTTCATGGTGCAGAGTTCTAGACGGGAGTGGAAATCGAAGACGATACATAGTTGAGACAGCGGGCAATGAGCAGCCGAAGGTTTGATCTAAGACTCCTCCGCTTTGAATCCGATTGCAAAATGTCACTGATCGATCAAGTTTTCTGTAATATTTTGCCCAAATCTCCCCGACAATGCCCGGATTCCTCATTTTTGTATCACCGACACTCGTCGAGGCTTGGAACTCCCAAATTTTGTTTTACTCTGTTTTGTCATTTGCTTGATTCAGAGGTTGATTAGGGTTTATACCGGTTTGACATTGAAGGAAAGATCTGATTGAGAAACCAACGATTACTTTGCAGGGAGCATCGGAGTTCAAGAACATCTCTTCTCGACGGGCTTGAAGAGGGTCGTTTCATAGCATCCTCGTCGTTTCCTCATGATATCAGCGAACGCGACAATGATGAAGCCTTAGACAATCTTCAGGACAGAGTTTCGTTTCTGAAGAGAGTATGTCCTGTCTTCATTCTTAGCTGCAAACGCTTACAGGGTCATCTTTAGAATTGAGAATCTTCAAATCAACCTCGTGGTAGAGCTACTGTGACATAGAACTTGTCATAGGAACTACATCGCTTTGTTTAGATGCTGCAACGAAGATCATGTCTGAGTTTAAAAAAGATCTTCTTTGTCAGCGTGATCATGATTCGCTTAGAAAAGTTCCAAATTGACACAAACTACTATTGATTTGGCTAGTGCTGCTTTATATGGGGATTAGAACATATAAACTTTACGCCGAAAAGGGTTCTGAATCTTCCAGTACAGTGGCATTTATCTTCCTTGGGGGTTTCTGTTATGAAGTTGGGTTAGATCCGTTAACTGGGAACAAAGAAACATTCTTTGATTTGGTTTTGAATCGATGATACTTTTGCCTTTTGCGTTCTCTTTAACGATAACCTTTTTTTTTCCTGAGCTGTAATCTTTCTGATGCTATCTTATCAGCTTACTGGAGACATACATGAGGAAGCGGAGACTCATAACCGCATGCTAGACAGAATGGTAGGTCATACTTTGATGCCAATGTTCTTTTTTCAGTTCCTACATCTGGAGAATGCGCTTTGTTTCTGTCTGAAACACCCGGCTGTATCTCTTAGGGCAACAACATGGACTCGGCGAGGGGAATAATGTCAGGAACCATCAATCGATTCAAGATGGTATGTGATGGAAAATTTGTACCATACTTCTTACAGTGATTCCTACTTTTTCATCTCCTCGTCTGCAGCTATCACTCACGTGCATTCACATCCAAATCAACATAATAGGTCTTTGAGAAGAAATCTAACCGAAGAATGTGCAAACTCGTAGCGTATTTTGTGGGCTTGTTCTTGATCATGTATTACCTTATCAGGTACGTATGTACCCTTCAACTCGATCCAACACTTCCTTGTCAGAAGTAATTTAACATATATCAATCGAGAAAGTAGCAATAGAGATGCAATATTTGGCACTAGTGAAACCGACCGTATCATTGCAGGCTCTTAAGATACATCAAGGGCTGAATTCCACCACCCAAAAGAAAAACAGGTGTTGTTTCAGTTTCACAACCCTTTGGGAATCTGATACAAAAAAAAAAAACTTCATAGAAGGACAAGGGCTCGTGAGGAGACAGGATGAACAAAAAGATACTGTGAAATGTGAAGAGATAGAGACATTTTTTTGTTCTGGAGCTCGGACATGTTGAGTTCGTGTTAGGAGAAACTTCTTTGTCAACGATGTTGATCGCACGTTTTGAAAATCTCAGTATTACTGTTTGACCTCACAGTTGACTTTCCAACTCTTCTACAAAATCCTTGTGTGTGTAATGTATTTGTATGTATGTATGTATGTATGTATGAAATTTTGTATCATAGAGGGGAATTTTGGATATGAAAGCCTTACCAATTAGATACGATTTTGTTTTTCGTTATCAGTTGGTGCGTCATCCAAATTTAGTTGGTGCGTTATCCAAATTTAGGTGATGTAGTGGTAGAACAAATACTAAGTATGTTTTTATCCTAGTTTAAATCTAGACGTGGAGATTAACATTTTTTTGTACTTTGTCGATCATTTGGAAGATTTAATTAGACCAAAGGTATGATAAACTTGTAGATTATAAATAAAAAAAAGCTGTTAACGTGTTAAAATTTTGTGTTACCGTTTGTGTTTGTGTTACCAAATTTAATTAAGACAAAAAAATTACTAAAAGTATTATCAATTAATGATTTAATATGGTTAGATCAACCTTAAGAAGATTGTAATTGAGCTTAATCCCTTCTTTATATTTAAAGAAAACAAAACGAAGATTTGATTATAATCCAAACGATTATCGTTATTATTTAATTACAAGTTGGCCTCCGTCATCGGACCAAATCATGTTGGACTTTACAGATCACGGGGGAAGATGAAATCTGAGACTCCGTTCCATCTCTCTGGATTCTTATCAAAGTTCACGTGTGAACAGCCTCCCCCGTTATCTTAGGAACCAAGTTGTCAACGTATATATGTGTAAACATATATGTATATATTTATATATACACACGTTACGTACACAATAAACTTCGATTGATTCCAAAATGTAGTGTGTATATATATTATATATACACATCTAACGTCTTAATATTATTATGAATGGTGTTCAATTCAATTATATTTTCCTTAGTTCTAGCATACCATTCAACCAAATGCATATGATATTATAATTAGTTTATACAATTTTAGTTTGTTTGGAATCTTGCTAAGATATTCACATTTTTTTGTCTATATTTCTTATTGATCTTATCTCGATATATATTTTTCATTTAGATTTCGTCCACGAGTTCTATTTATGTAATGATATGGTTCAACTAAATAAGGTCTATAGTTAAGAATCCATCGATATATATCTTTTCATATATTTCGTTCAGGTTTCGTTATTATTATGTTCGATATTCGAATTGGAAATTTTCAAATAGATTTAGCATACAGTTGGCTGGATTCCGTTATTTTGACTCGATTATCAAACGATATATCTTCATATAAAAAAAAACAATCACGGTGGGCATATATATGATGTATTCAGACAGCCATTATTTTCATAATCCGATTAATGGTATATACTAGCTATATCGATGGCAAATAATAACTAATAATATGAGTGTGTATATATATATGTATAGTGGTGAAATGGGTTTTTGTCGGAACTGGGACAAGGGAAAACGACGTGCTCCCCACCATCCCAATGCTCACGCCACACCATACCCCACTTTTTCCTTATAAACCCTAGTTTTTTCAATGCCTTCTCAAAAACCCAAAATATACATTATATATATATGTATATACACACACACACACATGTTATCGGTTGTACAAATGATAAATAATTTGTATAAAAAGAATAAATGGTAAATCCTAGTTAAGCTCCTCATTTCACAACATCCCAACACGAACAAGCAAACTCTCTTCCCAAAGAAGCGAGACTTTGTGTTACTGTAATTTATTGGGTTCGCAGTTCGATGGAATAGTTTAATTTAATTCACTTATATCTATATATCTTTCGAATTTTCATATATATATATATATATATATTATATGTATGTATTTGAGATTATTGTCTCAGTTATTCGTGTTTGTAATTCAGGAGCATTGTCTTTAGTACACTAAGATATTTGCAAAAGCACCATCTGAAATGCCGTCTCGAATATTTCATCTTCAAATATTATAGTTTTAATCAAAATACGCCGATTTAACCGAGTGGACATAACTTCTGGTCTAAGTTCGACTTCACGGCCAAATAAATATAAACCCTATATATAAATATACTGGTCTAAGTTGGAGAAATTAATAATCTCTCCCTCTCAATAATCTCTCTCTCTCTCTCTCTCTCTCTCTCTCTCTCTCTCTCTTGGTAGATTGATTCCTTTCAAGGGTTTTTTGGTGTCACTTCTTTGAAATAATCAAAGATATAATATCAACCAGCCGGCCCCTTAGTTTGATTCCATTCCACAATTGCATCTAATTCTCCCAAAGCTTTTGCCCTCTATTCATCAGAAATTTCTCAAATCCATATATGTGAAATTGAAGAAGGTAAAAGGTGAAAGAATTCCAAAGACACACACATACCTTTTGACTTTGTGATCTCAAACCCTAGAAATTTAATATAACCCCTTCCTTTCAAGAACCAAGCCTATCTCGGTTCTTGATCTCTCTTCGATCGAGTGAATCGCTTTCCTTGAGACAGAGCTCAATTTCTGCAATTCTGGCGAACCCTTGGTGGACCAGCCAGACCGGCTTGCCCGGCATGCCGGACCACTCCTCTGCCGTGGCTGCAGCCGCCGCTGCCCACCATAACCACCAACAAGCCCTCTTAACCAAAGGTGACCTCGGAATACCAATTAACCAGACCAATGATCACGACCATGACCACGACCAGGACCACGGAGCCGGCGACGACCCAGGGGCCGTCGAAGTCGTGAACCGGAGACCGCGAGGCCGGCCTGCGGGTTCCAAGAACAAGCCGAAGCCGCCAATCTTCGTGACGAGGGATAGCCCTAACGCTCTCCGAAGCAACGTCATGGAGATCACCGGCGGCAGCGACGTTGCTGACGTCATCGCCAACTTCTCCCGGCGGCGGCAGCGCGGCGTCTGCGTCCTGAGCGGCACCGGCTCGGTCGCCAACGTCACCCTCCGTCAGCCTACCGCCCCCGGAGGCGTCGTCGCCCTCCACGGCCGCTTCGATATCCTCTCCCTCACCGGTGCCTTCCTACCGGGACCCGCTCCCCCTGGGTCAACGGGGTTAACCGTATACCTCGCCGGAGGTCAAGGCCAGGTCGTCGGAGGAAGCGTCGTCGGCCCTCTGGTCGCCGCCGGATCCGTGATGGTCATCGCTGCCACGTTCTCCAATGCCACGTACGAGAGACTGCCCATCGAGGAGGAGGAAGACGGCGGGGGCGCGGCGGCAGCGGGGCAGGATGCGACGGCGTTGGCCGGGACGGGTTTTGGTGTACCGCCGCCGCATATGTTTCCGAACGGCAGAGGAGGCGGTGGTCAATTAGGGCACGAGCCCTACACGTGGGTTCACGCGAGGCCTCCGTACTGAGACAGTGAGTCACCGATCGATCTATGTAATGTTTATGTGACTGTAAAATTTAGTTTGGTTTGTTTTTTTTTTCTTTTCAATTTCAGACTTCTTCAAAGCATGTTTTTTTGGAGAATGTTAGGGTTTGCAAGGTAAAGGAGAAAGAAACGGTTTTCTGAATATAATAATAAACGAATAATGGAAAAATATATGTATGATATTACTCCTCTCTTTGTATTTTCCTCTAATCTTTAGATAATTAATAATTTGCATATTAATTGATTTGTATTTAAAAAAATATGGGGAACTTGTTTGCTCAATGATGAAGGAACATGGCCTGTCTGGTTTCCGAGTTGGATTTATTATTTGCCCGAATTCCTAAAGTTCAATTTTCTAAGGTTATAGTACCATTAATGATTATCTGCATGCATTGATTTCATTAATCTATTGATGGATACAAGCAAATGATCAGTTATATTTAGGGTTTGTCATATCGAATGTCATTAATTTTGATGACTGAGTAATCTTGTAAATAATAACAGTCTTCTGTTGAGCAAAAAAAAAAAAGGAATTATATTTCTCATAAAATAAAAAATTTAAAGTATTTTGTTACGAAATAAAGTATTTTTGCCGTTGAAAAATTTAAAGTATTCACCAAGCGAGCTTTACAAAGAATTCGTGTGGAACAGAGACAAAAGCAAAGGCGAAAGCAAAAGATTGTAAGATACTAGGAGTTCATGCATATATACAACCATTCCATATATTTGTATAATATTGTTTGGAATTTGCTATCGCGACAAGATTAAAGATTTTAAAACCCAATTTTACCCATAAATTTGAAAACTTTGATCGTTTTTTACTTTATAAAAAAAAAATTCGAGGTGGGAGAACGTTTTTTTGACGAGCATAGTTTTTATATACATAAATGGCACACATTTTTCGAAATTGTAGATATTTTATTTCAATTTTTGGGTTAAATAGCATATGAAAGCATGCATGCAGAATCCAAACACATTCATACACACACACACACATATATATATATATATGGATTCTTTTATCCATTTGGAATCAACATATGAGTATGACCCAACAATATTAAGAAATAGGATACTATCATATAAAAAATTATAATGATAAAAGGACTAATAAAATGACCAAATTATTGCAACAGCGACAAATGCAATGATATAATATCATATGCGTTATCCATTGCCATGAAATAATTACCGAACAATCTTTAGAGAAATACTAAAAGAGTGAGTGATGATATATTAAATTGAATTGTTTAATATTTGTCACTTGTTAAATTAATTTTGTTAAGAAATATTTTTTTTATTAGGTTTTGTTGTTTTATGTATCACCTGACTTGGCAGGAGGATCCTAGAAATGGTGTGCGACACAGAGGACCCTCTTCACATGAATTCACGTGTCAATTGTCACTCCAAAAAAGAGACCCTTAATTAATATTATTATACTGATAATATTTATTTAAATTGAATTATATTATAATGCTGATTATTAAAAACTGATGGGGACATAACGCATACATTCCAAAGCTAAAAGCCACCATTAGTTACCTAATTGGAGGAGCTTACACCAATAATTACAATTCAACTCTATATATAGAGAGAGAAAGAGATACTATGATTATTGAGGGATTAAGTTTTTTTATTTAAATAAAAGTTTTTACAACGATACTTTTATATATATATATATATTTTATTTTTGTTGCAATAGTTTTATTCTCTAATCACCAAACATGGGGTCGAGACAGAAACATATTCATAACAATTCATTTGTGCCATATATAGTTCTCTCTGTTCATATACGAGGGCAATTACGGCATTTGTATTATTGTATACGTTAGTTATGTAAAACCCTAATATATATGTAATAATAAGATAGCCCGTTCTTATCTACTATTTGTTTCTATCAAATTGCCAAATGTCGTGAGTCGTGACGAACCAAACCATATAATAAATCCCAAATTATGCGCTTTGGGAGGTCGAAAAGCCATGATCTCTTTCCACTAACTTTGATTATGTCGTGCGGGGCCCACTACGCTTAATTAATGAAATTCGGACCACCCAATAATAAACAAATGTAAAATCAAAATGTTTTTTAATCATGTAATTTGATGGTGAAAAAAAAAGTAATTTGATGTACAATTTAAATCAATAGTTTATATATTGCACCCTTAACACATCGAGAGAAAATACGCATATTACTTTGGTTCGTTATATTTTTTTTTTATAGATTTATTATTCGTTTATTTATTTTAGTTGATATATTTATTTCCAACATTATAAATGGCAACTTTAAGTAAAAGTCGAGACTCCCTATCCACAAAACCAAATAATTGGTCTCCACAAATATTTTTTAAATTAATTAGTGGTTGGGCATCTTGCATCCCCGCACTGAATATACTCTATAGTGTGTGTGTATATATATATAATTTTATTTTATTTGTCTAATAATGAGTTCACCCGTGTGATTGGACCGAACACAAAGTTGTCCATCGAGTTAGATCATGATCTCCTTCCACTTAGTACGAACAACACAACACGAAGAACATTGCAAGCATTGACATATACACATATATATATAAATAAAAACCGCTCTATATATATATATCGTATATACGCACACAGGCATGCGTGTATGAATTACCTAATTTATAAAGTTTGTAACAAAATGGATTTTTGTTATATTTCCAACGAAAACAGGAAACGGACGAATCAACAAAACGGAAGGTTTGACCATTCCAACATATTCCACGTGGCAGTTTCTACCTCCCGCTAAATGCGGGCTATGTTGGTGGTCTCTGACGTAATTTTTTTAATTTACATAGTAAAAAAATCTTAAAAATAAAACACAATCTTTGTTTTTGGACCATCAATATATAAAATCATTACAAAGTTTGTCTGGTTTCGTATTGGAATTTTGGATTAAATAATAAGCTTCTTTTGTACATAATTAAAATAATTTTATATCTTCCTACAACTTCAATTACAAATTTCCGTAATACACCTTAACTCTGAATACTTGACCATAAATTTTAAACTTCAAATCATAAATCTATCTTAAATTTTAAATTTAAAATTTTATAGTTTAAGACGTAGAGTTTTGGTATTTATGATGCAGCGTTTAGGATTTAATTAAGTTTAGATATTAAGATTTATTATTTAATGTATGGAGTTTAAGATTTAGGATTCAATGTTTAGGGTTATGGTTAAATTGGAACTAGCAGAACTAAAAAAGAAATTAAAAGAAAGGAATAGATAATAGATTATTATATAGTGGCCAATAAGATTAGCAGGAGAATGTGTAGGTTAAATTATAGGAGCATATAATTAGTATAATTATTAGGGTTGGACGTTTCGGTTCGGTTCTTCGGGACCGGACCGAACCGAACCGAAAAAAGATACTTTTCCCGATCCGAAACTGTTCTTAATTTCCGAACGATACCATTTTTAGAGAACCGAATTTTCTAAGAATCGAATTGAACCGAATCGAACTTTAAAAATCCTGAAAAATCGAATATTTTTAAAGAAAATCTATCTTTTTTTAAATAAAATCCGGAACCGAACCTATCGAAACTGAACCGAACCGAACCGAATATAATATAAAAACCGATTGGTACTTATTTTTGTAAAATTGAAAGAACCGAACCTATTCATTCCTATTGAAGCCGAACCGTTTTCGGAAAAGTCTACCCCTAATAATTATATTGCCATCAAATCCCCATAAAATCATAGACGGACCCCAGGGCTCGTGTTATCAAATGGGCCTAGGGCTCAATAACTGCTTCTAACACTTGTCCTTAAAAATAATAGATAATTAAAATAGGGACCAAATAATAATTCTACTGAAGCCCATCAATCAGGCCCATATTGAGGCTTCATGATTTGTGGACAATTCGGCCTCTGATGATATTTCCATTTTTGTTTCACACATATCAGTATATAATAATATGAATACACAGCTCATGTTCGTAGATACGTTTACTATATGATTGAATAGGGGTGAATAGGGGTGAACGTTTCGGTTCGGTTGAACCGGACCGAACCGAACCGAAAAAACGATACTTTTTCCGACCCGAAACCGTTCTCAATTTCCGAACGGTATTATTTTTAGAGAACTGAATTTTTTCAGAACTTAACCGAATCGAACCGAACTTTAAAAAATTCCGAAAAAACGAATATTTTTTTAAAAGAAATCTATCTTGTTTTTAATAAAACCCGAAACCGAACCGAATCGATACTGAAATCGAACCGAACCGAACATAATATAAAAACATATTGATACCTATTTTTATAAAACCGAAAAACCTAAACCGATCTATTTTTGTCCGGAATCTGAACCATTTTCCGAAACGCCCAGCCTATTAATTTTTATAATTAATATTATGGTAATCTGTAATTTTGCAGTATGATGTAATGCGGGCCAACTGAATTATAAAGTCCCAATTGTACAATTGGGCCTGTAAATGGGCCACGATATGAAAGTTAAATAGTTATTATAAATGCCCCCCTCCTAAAATTTCCATATATGATCCGGAAATATAATATTTATATATAGTTTTCTTTTTTGTGAAAATATTTATATATATAGTTATAGTAGCTATTGTATTATATTCCTCAATCTCCATTGTCATCCTCCAATTTTGCTGCCAAACCGTAAGGGTATATTTGTAATTCCAAGAGGTATGGTGGTGACACAAGGATTAGTCAGAAGAGCTAAGGTGCAATAATCAAATCAAAGGAGAAAGAAGCATGGGGCCCAATGATGTTAAAATCATTTCGATGCATCTCTTTCTCTCTTAAGTCTTAATTATTGTTTTCTTTTCTTGGAATTTTAAATCTAATATTCTTTTAATCATTCTATATTCTTAAATAAATCCATCCTGCTTTTTTGTTCTACCATAAGTTAAGTAAATAACACCTACATAATTGTATTATTATTATTATCTAAAGAATAAATATATTGTATTCTTTCTAAATTACTAACTAATTGCATAGAAAGATAAAAAAAAAAGATTTAGATTTAGATATTCATCATAATATTTTGCATCTATAAAATTTATCACGTACGTTTTTACTTAAAATTGACACCTTATAAAAAAAAGATACTAACAATATTAATAACGGAATTACTAATCAAGAAAATTATTAATTTTTTTATATTATAATACGATGTAGTTAGTCATCATGATGTTTTGAATCTATAAAATTTATCATCTGTTTTTTTTTTTTAAATTAATTTTAAACCGACACCCTATCAAAGGATATAATATCAATAGTAATGATTGTTTTGTCAAACAAAAATATCATTAGTTTACAAAGTTTGCACCTTTTTTTGTATTATTGGTTTTGTCGAAGTAATGACAAAATATATATAGAAGCTTGTTTCTTTGTGTTATTGGTGATGTTTCAAAGTAGAAAGCATTTAACTAAGATTCTTAGCATTAGCTTCGATATTATTATTATTATGGTTATTTTGGGAATTTCAACTGTTATACTATGGATAAACTGATTGAGTAAATTCTAGACACGCGCATACGAGTTTACGATACACACGTAAAAAATAAATCAGTCGTGACTAATAGACGAACTAATAGACGAGAGAGATGACCGACAAACTCTTCAACATTATTATTACATTTAGATTAGATTAAACACTAGTTACCGGAAATGCAAAGTACGTAATTACTACTACCATTTAATTTTTGGTTTGAATTGGAAAAGAAAATTAAAAAATGTAAAAAAAGGAAGCAAAGTGTTGGGGGAAAAAAAGTCAAAAAAGAGTAAAAACTGAGAAGTTACTTTCTTTGGTGGGGTGAAAAACTTAGTAGACGGCGTTAAGTAACGGCGTTAACAACACCGACGACGAGAGAGGGTATAAAAAAACGAAGCAAGCAACAGTAACGCATAACATAAACACTCGTAAGAACGCACAGTAGAGAGAGAGAGAGAAGAAACGCACGGTAGAGAGAGAGAGCGGTTTCGGTGTTTCTTCGCTTGTCACAAGAAAAATGGGTGAGGAAGGTTCCTTCTTTCTGTGTTTTTTCCTCTTTTTCCCGATCGGTTTTCGCTTGTTTTTAGATTCGAGAGTCGGTTTTCGATGTTTGAGATCCCGGGTTCGTTCGTTTTTCATTGATCCTTGGACTTGGTTGCTTGCGCTCAGTTCACGATCTGGGACATTTTCAAGTCTTTTGTGGGTGGTTTTGTTTGGATGCCGAGAAATTGGAGAACATCTGCTATGTTTGTTTTCTGCATTTTGGAATTTTGATGGTGTCTTTCCGGTTTCCGAGAAAGCGAGGGAAAATGAATTTGCTCTCCTGTATCTGGGATTTTAGTCGCATGTTCGAAAATGCAGGAAACAGTTACTGTTGAGTTCTACAATCTGAGCTTCTCTTTGTTATTTGATTGCCAGAAAATATTCATGAAGAATCTGTTTGTTTATTTGAGTGTATATTTTATGTTCCTGGTGGGATTTTGCTCAGAAAATGGGTTGAAGTTATTCTGTTTTAGGACAATGCAAGGTTAAGTCTTGTGTTTTACTCTGTTGGGTTGTGTCTGGCTTCATCATTCGAGCAAGGAAATTCCATGTCCATGTTAATCTGCTCCCTCTGCATTTTCTGGAGATTCAGAGAATGATGCTTGTTGTGTTAAGTTGGGCCATTAAACAGATGTTTATCTTTGTTCTTTCTCATTGTCTTTCAGGTCCCACGTTGGTTAATTATTCCCTTTTCAACCATAATTTAGATGGTTAGTTGGGGTCTTGTTCATCATTTGGAATTTAACCATTTAAAAAGATATGATCTTTTCCTCGGAAACACTTCATTGTCCGTTCCATGCTTGCCAGAGGGATCTTATTTTCTTGAAGTTGGTCTCTTTTGATGCTTCCAGAATCACTGTCTGAGACCTCTTTCTCGTCGAGTGGACCTAAAACTCTCTCCTGTTATGGAGCAAATCTTTCACTCCTCCTGCTTGAATCTTTAGCCATATGAATAGACATAATTGTGGGCAGAATTACGTTTTTTTTACGGGCAAATCTTGGATACAATCTATCTACTCTTGCTGCTCTCTATGTTGTGTTGATTATAGTTGTTGAATCTTACTGTAAGTTTGTCTAGGCTTGGCTTGGATTCAGAAAGAGATCGGATGCAGTAAACAATCAGCTTTCAAATCCGTAAAGTGTGGTGATAATAGATTTCATCTTGCAGATTTGACCGGAAGACAAGAAACTGATGCCTGTCTGGACAAGGAGCCAGACCGTGCGACAGTTTATGCCGATGGTGATCTGAATGGACCAAACCAAGTAGTTTCCGATCCTTCCCTTCATTCAGAGTTACAAGAGAATGCCAACAAAAGTCCAGAAGAGAACTCTGAAGGAAATGAACATGACGTGAAAGAATGCACTGATACAGCTCCGGTTGGTAAGGTATCAGAAGACAGGAATATCGAGAAAATTGCCTCAGAAAAGAGCATTGGTGGTTCCAATTCAGTAAATAAGTCAAATTTATCTTCAAAACATGCAACAAAACCGGGCTGCAGAAGTAACAGAACGAAGAACACTGTTCCACAGCCGTTTGCTTTAGCAACTGAAAAGCGTGCATCATCTGGGTTTCGTTCATTTATGGGTGAATGTGATACAACAGCCGGATCAAGAAAGTTGTCCAATGGGTACGGTATAGTACAAAATCGTGTGTCAAAGGTGGGGTTCTCTTGTTCTATGCTATTGTACTGCTCACTTCTTGGATAACCTCGTGTTTGTTTACCTGGGTCTTATATTTACACTATCCCTTCATATCTCTTGCAATGCAGATGCCTAGGAAGCCATTGCAGCCTAAAAACAAGAAGCATTCTGACGAGGAAGATTCTTGTTCTGTCTCATCTTAGTATCCCCTTCCCTTCAAAATCTATGCTTTTAACTTTTAATTTTCTACTCATTTATCTCTTCAATGTGTGTAGTTGTATATGATGTTTAACTCTGACTATTTACAGCTTAACATCGGTTGCACGGACTGTCACGTCAAGATCTACAGTTATCACAACACCTGTGTTCCGATCCACTGAACGGGCAGAGAAAAGGAAGGAGGTTACGCAATATTCTTACCTTATCTTCTTCGTTAAGATCGTACTCTGATACATTTTTCGTCACATGTTGGCTTTCATTTTGTTACAACCCGTCAGTTCTATATTAAACTGGAGGAGAAGCAACAAGCTTTGGAGGCTGAGAGAACGCAGAGTGAAGCAAGGAACGAGGTGGCAAACTCGAGTTCCTTTTCTTTTAACATTCCTTTATTATAATGCCAAGAAACATACGTTTGTTAACTTCAGAGTTTTGTCCCTTCTTCCTTTGTGATCGTCTATTTAAAAAAATGAGTTTTTCAGGAAGAAAGCAAGGCGGCTATAAGGCAACTAAGAAAGAGTTTGATGTTTAAAGCAAACCCGATGCCAAGCTTCTACCGTGAAGGGCCTCCTCCAAAGGTTGAACTTAAGAAGGTAAAAAGGATAAAGTTCCCATCTTTATGCACTTTCAGGCCAATCTTGTCTGTTCTGTAAGATTCTGTTTTATGTATGTTTTGTTCAGTCAACTCCAACTCTGGCGAAATCTCCGAAGCTTGGAAGGAGGGAGAGCAATGGCGATGCCCTTAACCGAAGCAAAGGAAACAAAACAAAACAAAAGGGTTTGTTTCCTGAAGTGCATAACTTTGAAAACCATTAACCTCACCCAAAGATGAGCACTCTGACCAGGCAACAGAAGGGTTCGTCCTGTTCCAGATAAACCGCCATTGTGGACCAGAGATTGGTTCATGGTGCTGATATAATACATATATATGTGTATATGTATATGTATATGCGTGTCAGCCTTCTGATCTTATGTGAGAGAGGAGCATAGATCTTGGAGGATATGCGAGTCTCTGTTGTTGTTTTGTTTTAAGCTGTGGCTGTTTTTGTTTTTAACTTGTGTTTGTTGCAAGTGTAAAGTGTCTGTAATATAATAATTATGCCTTTTTTTTTTCTTTAAAGTGAATTGTTAAAGTTTTCATTTAATTCTGAGGTGGTTATACGAGTATCTTTATAATAATACATACCGTATTATATATTCAGAAATAATTTATCATACACCATCCGCTATTTGATTAAATAAGCAAATAGCTGTAGAGGTTGTGCCTTTGTGGTGGTCAACTAAATTCTTACTATAATGGGGTGTTGACCCATGTCAATGGGCCTAGATGGGCTGGAGGAGATGTTAATGGGCCTGGATGGGCTGAAGGAGAGTACATGTCAATTTTTATGGAAAATTCAAATTGTAATTAATCAAATCCAAATGGAAACTTGGCTGATCCTATGCTTGTTAAAAGATATAATCAAGTAGGATATAACTTTCCATATGCATATATTTAACTTTCCATATGTGGCGAAAATTAAATAATAAAAAATATGAACTTTTTCCTGTAGTGTGCTGGGTTTTTTTTTTTTGACGCATTTTTAGCGTTGGGTTAAGAACTAATCAATAAAAAAATATTTTTTTTGGTGGAATTAAATAATTAGATAATTCTTATCCGCAGGTGAACAACACGCGCCACAACCTGGCCCGTGAGGAGATGCCGAATTGACGGTTTGGCCCTTGTCCCCCGCCGACGTCTTTTCGGTACAACAAATTTCAATAATTTTAAATTTTAATTAATTTTAATCGCAAATTTATCTCTAGAATCAAAGAGAGGAGAAGACGAAGAAAGAAAGAAGAGATTTCGTGTTCGTGTCCCATCCTCTTGGCCGCGTCGATTCGATCCATGTCGCTCGATTTCCCGGAGACGACCGCCGACGCCCATTTTCCCTCGGAAATCTGACATTTTCTCGGGAAAATTTCCTGGATCGGGGAAGCACTACCCGATTTGAGGGCCGCCATGGATGAGACTTTCTTCGATCTCATGGATTTCCTCAGGAAACCCTCTGTTACTGAGACATTTGTCGACATCTTGCTCTGTGCAGTCCCGATTTGGCTCGCCGTCATGATCGGCCTCTTGATCGGTTGGTCTTGGCGTCCTAGGTGGACCGGTTTGGTCTACCTAGGGTTCCGTTCCAAGCTCCGGTTTCTCTGGACCGCTCCGCCCGGGTTTGGCGCTCGGCGGCTCTGGCTCGCTTTCACCGCTCTATCGGCTTTCTCTGTCTGCCGAACCATCTGGTCGCGGCTCGGCTCGAGGGCCAACAAATCCGTCGGTGGTCCGGCTTCTACTCCGGCTACTGTCGAGGATGCTCTTCCAATTGATGGTCCAGGAATAGTTTCGAGGTCAGTGGATGATAAAAATGAGTGCTTTATGCATTTTCTTCTGTGTCTTAGTGGATCTCTCTGTAATAACAGATGATTTGTTTTCTTCTTGCAAACCGACAAATTTACTTAAGATGACTGAGGGTGTTCTAGGACAGTTACTTTTGTAAAAAGATGAGCTTTTTTCTCGCCGTTTCTTTTGTACTAGTGTGTTCTTGTGGCGACAAAAGTGGGCTTTTGCCGTTAGCAGATTCATTAGCATAATGCCACAGTTGATCAAAACTATTGTAAGCTGGTTTTCTGGATATGGGTTTTGGTGAATGTGATCGCTGAGCACAATAGTGGAGAACCCTCCAAATGACTTGTAGTTTCAGGAAGATTTTGTTGGGTGACATGTATTTATAGTTAGGGCTGACATTTTGTTGGATGAATTTGACTCTTGTCAAGAAATGATTTCTCAGCTGTAAGAGATCTCTAGGGATTGAACAGGAGTGTTTTCTGAAGTAAAGGCATACGCTTTGATGCGACTTCCTCGTTTGTTTGTTTTTTTTTTTGCGTGCTTATCTGCTGATGCTTATTGTTGTATTGCGTTTATCTCCGGCAGATGTATAGTTTGTTACCTGAATATGATCCTCTAATATATCTCATTTGATAAGTCAGCAACTTCATTATAAGCTAGCAGTTTTGATGTTATTTCGAATTCATTATTGGAGATTACGTGAGCAAAAGAACTGTTTTTCATTACTGAGAAGAGTGTCCAGTAGCTGGACTGTGACCTGTGAAGAGTTGAAGGCTAGTGAAATTTACGTGACTGAGAGTAATGGTTTTTGCTGTGCTGATTCACGGCAGGCGTAGTGATGAAAGTGCGGAGAATGAGCAAGACGTTGTTACAGAGAATGATTTGGAGCATCTGCTGAATCTGCTTGAAGTCAGGAATGTAGATAGGGAATGGCAATCCATGATGGAAAAAAACACTGGGAATATGAGCTACCAGGCTTGGCGTCATGAACCCGAGGTAATCTAAAGTTTTAACTCTTGTTTCATATGTGTTGTTCCTTGTAAACATAAAAGGAAGAGTAGTAATAAGAGGTTTTCAGTTGGGTATAAAGTAAATAATTACATGAATAAATGATGAAACAAACAAAACTTGTGGATCGATAGAATCTATTTTTGAATCAAAATAGTTGACATCCGAGGCCGATACTTTTATTACTTGGACGAGCAAGAATAAATGCGCACATGGATTATCAATATACGCTGTGTATTCCTTTCTGTTGTCATACATTATTCTATGACTTAGTACTCCCCGCTTAGATACTTTTTGATGTTCTGGATCACTTTGCATGATGCATCATATTTGTCTGAAACTTGTTTTGGGGTTTATAACATTAGAGGTTTTCTTAAACAGTACATGATAAAGGTTCTTCTGAGCCATGTTTTTAGTCCCTGAAAGGTTTTGATGTTTCTCAGACAGGTCCTGTAGTTTACCGCAGCCGGACAGTTTTTGAGGATGCAACTCCGGAGATTGTAAGGGATTTCTTTTGGGACGACGAATTCCGGCCTAAATGGGATCCTATGCTTTCATACTTCAAAACTTTGGAAGAGGACCCTCAGTCTGGAGCCATAATTGTTCACTGGATTAAAAAGGTTTTCAATTCCTCCTTTAGTTGATGTATCATAGTCGCTTTACCTCCTTTTTCCATTGGAAAAGATCCCGTAGAAGCCATGATTGAATTCTCTCCTCTCCCTTCTGCAGTTTCCATTTTTCTGTAGTGACAGGGAATATATCATTGGTCGGAGAATATGGGAGGCTGGGAATACATATTACTGCGTGACAAAGGTAACTTTCTGCATTTTGCATCTTCACGGTTCCCTTCTGATTGAAGAAAGTCTCCAGTTGTTTGCCGCATTTAAGGAAAAAAAAACCACGTTATCTCAGCACTGTAAATTCTACATCAGTCTACACGGGATAATGTTTTTGGTTCCATAAGTTGTTCATTCCATTACCAGTGAAACATGATGATCATGGTAAGAATAAGAATGTGAACTACATAAATGGTGTAAAAACTCGAGAAAACAGAACACCATCTAATTTTTGGCTGTTTCGATATCTTAACTTCATAGGGTATACCATATCCAGCTCTGCCGAAAAGGGCTAAGCCAAGGCGCATTGAGCTTTATTTCTCTAGTTGGGTGATAAGAGCAGGTAAAAGCCCGTCCTATCTCTATGAACAACGTTTTTAGTGGCTCGGGTTTCTTTTTCTAAGCAAAAATTGAAATTGCAGTTGAATCCCGGAAAAGGGATGGGCAGAAAACGGCCTGCGAAGTCATGCTCGTCCACTACGAAGACATGGGAATCCCGAAAGACGTAGCGAAGTTAGGCGTCCGTCACGGAATGTGGGGAGCGGTCAAGAAGCTAAACTCGGGCTTACGAGCCTACCAGAACGCAAGAAAAACAGGCAGTTACCTGTCCCGAATGGCCGAGATAGCAGGAATCACGACCAAACTGAACGCGGATTCGGTGGAGACATCTTTAAGAGATGAAGACAAGACACGAGTTCTGGATGAAGAGGCGAGAAGACAGAGAGATCAGTTAAGGGTTGATTGGAAATGGATTGCAATAGGAGGTTTGGCTCTTGCTTGTGGGCTTCATTCAGGCGCCATTGGAAAGGCATTGCTTGCAGGAGCAGGCCAGAGACTGGCTCGTAGGTGAAGAGGAGAAGATTCATATGATATATTCTTATATATCTTTATATTATGTATATGCATATGGAAGTTCATATCTCCGGAAATATGTTGAGAAGGGGCATTTGTTGAGGCTATGTTATGTGTATGAACTATGAAGCAAGAGCTCTCACTTTTGTCTTGTTATGAGTTGGAATTGACTCCAAGTGCAACATTGCATTGCAACTCTTTGCTATCAAATGTTGGAATTGGAAATTGAAAAACTAAAGAACATATTGTAAATTTTCGTAATCCCTATTGGACCATGAACTGCGTGAAATATAGGGGGCAAAATGTCACTTAAGAAAGTTAGTTGCCGATTCTGTAAATTTTACACGGGCCATTCATGTCTTTAGATCAGAAAAGAGATGCCCCATCGAGCGGGAAGCCCGAGCGAGTGCGAACCCACCTTCGTAACACGACCATTGCCCTGTAGTATAATTCAAAGTTGGTTCAATTTTTTTTATTATTATAAGATTCGGTCCAAGTAAAGAACTGAAGTCCAATAAGTTTCAGGAGCTTTATGTTTTCTTGCCGAGCAAGCAACCTAGTGTGAGATACCTTGCATTGCAAGAAAGGTCAGGAATGGACGGCGTTCAGTGAAGGCATTTGCGACCGTAAGAGAGGACCACGGCGAAATCTTTGGCAGATCCTCCAAAGGAAGAGCTGTTTGGATCCTCCACTCCACTAAGCTCTGCAGCGGCTTAGGTTCTTGTCCATTATCTTGTCATGTATGTACTTCCTGCAAACTGCTTAAAACTTTTCAAATCCCGAAAGCAAAATACATTCATTCTTTCGTTTGTAGTAGAAGATCTTTCCCGGTAACTGACAGCATTCTGCAAATAACGAGACAACACCGGGGTGAAGCAGAGTTCCAGAGAACCCGACATCATCAAAACGGTCTGGGACATGTTCTTGATTTCTTACCGAAAGATCACAACTTTCAAATCTCTACTGTCGCAGAACATAAATACTGAACACAACGCTAAGATCCGAGAATATATGGGCGTGAAACAACGACTCCAGAGCGACTCATATAGTGTGTAAACTGACACTGGAGAGACATTATCTTCCTCAGCATAGCACCAAGACTAATGACCATTACATAGAGAAACAATCAAATCTAACGAAATAGCTAAGATATTGTTAGTGCAATTATTTGCACATGTGTTTTTTGGTTGTTAAGTGATGATCTGAAATAACCAAAAAGGGGGAGATTGTTAGTGCAATTATTTGCACATGTGGTTTTTGGTTGTTAAGTGGTTATTGCAGGTTCAACAAACTTGAGAGATTTCAGGAGAAGAATCCGGCGAGATAGAACTCACGCAAATCTGAGGTACATCTGACGAGTTTGAGATAAAGTCAAAGACTAAGAGATTTAGATGGACTCAATGTCAACCACTTGGAGAGATTTTAGGAAAATCAATCTGAAGATATAGAACCACGAAGTTAAGCCACGCAGTTTGGATTTGACTTGAAGAGATGAAGATAGAATCAAAGCCAAGAAGATTTGAGGAGATTTGAGATAAAGATAAGATCTTGGAGATAAGGTCAAAGGCTGAAGAGATAAAGTCAAACAAGAGATAAAGATGAGATCTTGAAGATAAAGATGAAATCAAAGAAAATCAAGGAGGAGTCTATCAAATCAATTCGTGGAGATCTAAGGCGAACTGGAGGAGCCTATATAAAGGAGAGAGCAAGTGCATATCAGTTCTCACGGAGAGCAAAACATATTTTACTAAAAGAGAGTCTTTTTGTTGGTGAGTGATAACTCACTTTTGAGTGAGTGTGTGTCTGAGGAAGAGACCGATGGGGCAAATCTCTTTCCTCTGGTGAGTGTTTGGGCGTGGATCTGAGGGGGAGACCTAATGGAAAAATCTCCATTCCTTTGGTGAGCGTTTAAGTTTTGGTAAGGTTTTTGATCGGTAGAATTCATTGTGAGAGTGGGTTGAAACTCAGGGGGAGTTTCATCTGGGTGTTGAGTAGCTCTAACAAAAAGTGAGTTGTACTTGACTTTTTCTCAAGTGAATAGAACTGGTTAGTTTTTCCGTTTTACTCTTTGAGGGTCCAAACTTCTTCAATTGGTATCAGAGCCGGTCACCGATCGTAGGAACTTGTCCTCTCATATCGGTGCAAGTGTGGAAGACACAACATGGACTCGATCAAAGGGTTTCACGCTCTTGGGACGTACACAATTCTTGATTCGGAGAATTATAGCTTTTGGAAAGTAAAAGCAATGAATCTCATCAAAGGGATTGATGAAGATGCTTGGAGTTCGGTGGAAGAAGGATGGAGTGCTCCAACTTACGTGGTTGATGGAAAGAAAATTCTGAAGCCTAGATCTAAATGGACAACCAAAGAGAAGAGAGCATCGGCATTAAATTCAAAGGCGATAACCATCATCTTCAATACCGTTGATAAGGACGAATTCAAGCAGATCCAAGGGTGTAAGTCAGCAAAAGAAGCCTGGGATTCACTTGAATTAATTCATGAAGGAACCTCAAGTATCAAGCGCACAAGGAGAGATATAATCAAGCATCAATTCAACATGCTTCAAATGGGTGAAAACGAGAGTGTCAAGAAATTCTGTGGAAGGCTGAATGCACTGGCAAACGAAGCAGAGGTCCTTGGAAAGACCTATCGAGACAAACAACTCGTGGCAAAACTCCTAGTAAGTTTACCAAAAAAGTTTATGTCTCATAAATCTGCTTTCACCATGGTAAATAATGTAGACACTGTTAGTTTCAAAGAAACAGTTGGTGCATTTGCTGCTCATGAATTAGAATTAGAGCTGTATGAGAAGCCAAAGAGAGCAACAACGTCGCACAAAAATATGGCTTTCCATGTCCCAGAGATATCTGACACTCAAGGTCAAGTATCAGGGTCATCTGAGGATCCAAGTCAAGTATCACTGGAGGAAGACATGGCGATGATTGTCAAAAAGTTCAACAGGTTTTTCAAGAAAAAGTCAGTGACCGCTGGAAAACTTGAGCCTAGAAACACTGGAAAGTGTCTCGAATGCAAGGGAGTTGGTCACTGGAAAGCTGAGTGTTCTAGCATTGCTAAGAGGGAAGCAATGTTGAAGAATCTAAAGGATCTTCAATGTTATGAGTGCAAAGGATATGGTCATATGAAGAATGAGTGTGCTACTGGAAAAGGAAAATCGTCACTCACTCACAAAGATTTAGAAACTGAATCTGACGAAGATGAAGGAGAAGAACGCTCAAATTTTATTGCGTTCGTTGGTGACATAGAAGAACGTGAAGAAAAAGAAGAGGAGGTTAGTGAAGAAGATCTGTACAAAGAGATGACAAAGCTCTACGATATCAACATGAAGTTGATCAAGGAACAAAAACAGAGTGAGTCAACACTCACTGACTTGAGGAAACAGCTGATCAAAGAACAAAAGGAGAAAGATTCAATTATCATTGATCTAAAGAAGCAGCTGAAAGAAAAAGAAGAAAAGATCACCTTACTACAAAGTCAGTTGGATGAGACTATGAAAAAAGTAAGGATGCTCGGAAGTGGTACAGAAAAGCTTGATCATCTACTGAGAATTGGGCGAACTGATTCTGGGCATGCTGGCCTAGGATACACTGGAGGAAGTATTAACAAAGTAGAAAACTTTGTTTCTGAAGGAAAGCTTGGAGATGAGAATATTGTTCCGGTAAAAAATACTCCAAGAATCAAGGTTGATCTTCATCCGAGAAAGCAGTATCGTGAGCACAGAAGTTGTTTTCATTGTGGCAAAAGAGGACATATCAGAGTGAACTGCTACTGGAGGAGAAATCAGGTACCACTCGCACCAAGATGGAGACAAGTCTGGAGGAGGAAAGATATCAACAGGTGCAATATTGCTTGTACATCAGAGCTGAACTCGAGAGAAAGTCAGTGGTATTTCGACAGTGGATGCTCGAAACACATGACTGGTGACATGAGTCGACTTTCTACTTTTGAAGAAAGCAACAAGGGTGACAATGTTATATTTGGTGATGGACGAAAATTAAAGATCATTGGAAAAGGAACGTTGGACTCATCTGCACTGCCTGCCCTCACTAATGTGAATGTGGTTGAAGGACTCAAGGCGAATCTCATTAGCATAAGTCAACTTTGTGACTCTGGACTTCAGGTACACTTCACTAAAGATGTATGTTTAGTCACTAACTCGTTGAATGAGTGTGTGTTGACAGGAAAGCGAACACCGAGTAACTGTTATACTTGGGATGATCAATCGAGGACAGAGTTATGGCATCAAAGTAGAGGGAAAACTTACGAGATATCTGATATACTTCGAGAACCAGTCAGTAATCACTCAGATCTTGACCAGGATGAATCTATTAAGATGCACGAGGGTTTGAATGATGAGTACTACCTCAAGATAATGCATGAAGATGGAAGAGTCAGTCGCAACAAACCAAGGTTAGTGGCTCAAGGGTACACTCAAGTGGAAGGTATGAATTCGGTACCACTTTCTCAAAGAGCAAATTAGAGCGGTCTTTTGATTGAGTATGCACTCATTGAACGCCAATTAGCTGATATCTTTACGAAACCACTTGATATGAATGGGTTTGTGTGTTTTAAAAAAAAAAATCTTTTGGTTTAGGAGAAATATGATTTTATCTCTAATGGTGTCTATTCGAAAGTGATTTGGTTCAATGATTGTGAAGGAGAGTCAGTGATACTTGACATGTATGCCAAGTATACTTCAAAAAAAAATATAACATGGGCATCCCCTGATACTCCTCTATTGACTTAGTACTCCTGAATGACAAAAAAAAAGGAAGGAAAAGAAGAAAAAAAAGAGTGATGAAAAAGGAAAAAGAAAAAGAAAGAAAAAGGAAAGGAGGAAAAGTTGATATGAGTAGATTGGAAAATTGAATCAATCGGGTCTAAGTTGAACCACATGCAGTCTATAGATGGTCTAAGGGCAGATGATATTCATGCATCATACTCCGCTGTAATTTGAAACATTACAAGAGTATATCTCAGTGAGATAGTTTGGACTTAAATGGTGAAACTTGCATGCTCGGTTTCAACGTCCTAGAAGTTCAGAGGGAGAAAAGTCAGTGAAGTGTTCGGTGGAAAGTGAGGTATTTCTGACTTAACTGATCAAGCATTATGCTCTAATGATCTGTTGAATGATGTTATTAGATTTAAAATTTGAAAGATCCCAATTAATCTCGCATGTGTTTTCATTTGATTTTAAAAAAAATATATATATAAACCGGATTTGAGTTGAGTGGTGAAGTAATGACTAAGTTATTGGACAATGTGGAGCTGAAAAATCAGAGACTTGCAATCAATTTTGTGATGAGAAAGGAGGTGTCGCTCATATTATCCTACTGCGAGTGTTGTTTTTAAGTGTTGAACAGAAAAATAGTGAGACAAAAGGTGTGCACTCCTAGATCCAAATGGAAGATTCAAAATTCTGCAAGCCAGGTAAGTGTCTTAAATCTCTTCTCACTCAAGATTTTGGATTATTTCATACATGCACACAGGGGGAGAATGTGTAGATGATGATTCAGAAGATGAAGATAATGAGACGATAATGATTCCATCAATGGAAATTAGAACGTACAGGAACAAAAGAAAAAGACAAGGTCAAAGTGGTCAGAGTTACTTCAAATTTAAGTCAAACTTGTCTGAGTGAATGTGGAGAAATGTGTTGTTAAGTGAAGCAAAGTCAAATATGTCTGAATCATGATGCGAATCCTGATGCGAAGTTGTGCTGAATTGAGAACATTTTTATGTGTGTGTGCATGATCTGAAATAACCAAAAAGGGGGAGATTGTTAGTGCAATTATTTGCACATGTGTTTTTTGGTTGTTAAGTGGAACTCACGCAAATCTGAGGTACATCTGACGAGTTTGAGATAAAGTCAAAGACTAAGAGATTTAGATGGACTCAATGTCAACCACTTGGAGAGATTTTAGGAAAATCAATCTGAAGATATAGAACCACGAAGTTAAGCCACGAAGTTTGGATTTGACTTGAAGAGATGAAGATAGAATCAAAGCCAAGAAGATTTGAGGAGATTTGAGATAAAGATAAGATCTTGGAGATAAGGTCAAAGGCTGAAGAGATAAAGTCAAACAAGAGATAAAGATGAGATCTTGAAGATAAAGATGAAATCAAAGAAAATCAAGGAGGAGTCTATCAAATCAATTCGTGGAGATCTAAGGCGAACTGGAGGAGCCTATATAAAGGAGAGAGCAAGTGCATATCAGTTCTCACGGAGAGCAAAGCATATTTGACTAAAAGAGTCTTTTTGTTAGTGAGTGAGCACTCTCTTTTGAGTGAGTGTGTGTCTGAGGAAGAGACCGATGGGGCAAATCTCTTTCCTCTGGTGAGTGTTTGGGCGTGGATCTGAGGGGGAGACCTAATGGAAAAATCTCTATTCCTTTGGTGAGCGTTTGGGTTGGTAAGGTTTTTGATCGGTAGAATTCATTGTGAGAGAGAGTTGAAACTTAGGGGGAGTTTCATCTGGGTGTTGAGTAGCTCTAACAAAAAGTGAGTTATACTTGACAGTTTTCTCAAGTGAATAGAACTGGTTAGTTTTTCCGTTTTACTCTTTGAGGGTCCAAACTTTTTCAGATATGCCAATAGATCAGCAAAAACTAATGAAACAGAAAATAGAAGAAGATCGAAAACCATAATTGCAATGAAATAGACATAAACCTAGATCAGAATCCGAAACGATAACGCCCTCAAACAACATGAAAAAGGAAAAGAAAACGGAAAAGAAAGAGGGCTCACAGGTGTCGGAGATGGTGGTGGCATGATCGAAGAAATCATGGCAAATAGGGCAAGTCAAACATGTCTTCAGCTTCTCCTTCTCCATCACCATCTTCTTCTCTTCTCAAACAAAAAAAAAAATCTGAACTTTATCGATCGACGTAGCTCAACATGGTGCATGTAAGAAAACCCAGAAAAAAGAGAGGGTTTGATCTGGCGTTCTTCTTCTAGGGCATGCTTCCCTGTTCTGCGTTCCCAGAGATAATCGGACAACTTGAATCGAAACCCTGGGTAATTTTCTCGGTCGCCTTCTGTTTGGTTAGCGAGAAAATATTTTTTGCGTTTCGCGAGGGGCGCCTCCAGACTTGACACAATGTAACATTAATAGCTTAACGTGAGAAGTTAAAAATATCTCGTGGCCCACAAAAACACTAAAAATAAGAAGAATTTATAAATAAATTATATCCTTCTTTACATAGTATAATATTTTTTTTTATAATATGTTAATAACAAGGTAAACTCATCATCCATATAACAGTAACAATGTCACTAGAATTTAATATATATATATATATATATATATTACATAAAAAATATTGTGCGGATTCTCCTTTATCATAAAGCCCTAATATAATTCAGGATGATATTACATAAAAAAAATAAGCCCTAATATTTTTTAACATCTTCAATTTTTCCAATTCGATTTAATATTTTTGGTAAAATCTTTGTTACAAATAGAAATAAAAATAGAAAACAGTAAAGAATAAAGTTTAGAGGGAAAGACATGCACGTAGACGTAGCGCCAATGCAGCCTACAAATTATCAGACAAATCCTATAAACAGCATAACCATTTAACTGCTTATAACAAAAAAAAAAACATCTTATTCCCCTAAAAATAATTTTGCAATGATTAATTTAGATGCATAACTGGAAAAATATTTAAAACAAATTTCCGAGGGAAATATAATGTGGGTCCCACCGACTGTATTTCCCAATGTATCACACGCGCGACCGACATACAATTGTAAACCGGACTTGATTACAAAATAACAACTCGGTCGGCCCATTTATATGATGGGCCCACAATTTATATGGGCTTTAGATTTCGTTAGAAACGAATTATCCGTGTTTCTAATCTCTGAAGCATCTTTTTGGTAAAAAAAAAATAAAGGAATAAAATATCTCAATCTTTTTTTTTACACAATCTTATTGATTACAATCAGGTAAATAACTATATATTACATGGAAAAACAAAATTGAAGGGAAAAGCTCTCGTAGCTCAGTTGGTTAGAGCACCCGTTTAGTAAGCGGGAGGTCTTGAGTTCGACTCTCAACGAGAGCAGTAAAATATCTTTTTCTTTTTCTTTTTCTTCTTTAGGTTTAAAAAAGATGATAAAAAATAAATTTTATCCATATATTTTTTGTCATGAAATTCTATATCAATTAAGAAATTTTGTTTTACGATTTCTCCCACAATTGAATTTTGATTCTTTATGACGATCGTATGAAGGGTGAGCGAATCTGGATATTTACACCCGTTTCTAATATTGACATATTATCGTCAAAACTATTTGTTCAGTCTTTCATATATTTTATGAAATTAGAAATCGAATGTTAGATATTTCGTGGAGGCATGGATTTGGACGGTCGTAACATTTTGTAACGCAGTGGAATCAAACTTGCTTACATGGGGGAGAGAAAAATAAATAATAAAAAAAAACTCCGACTTTAAAACATTCTTATATTATAAATATTGGCAAAGCCAAATTACAACTATAACAAATACGATTCCTTAACCAAACGAATAAAAGAAAAAAATAACTAAAACATAATTCAATATGGATAATAGATGAAAATAAAAATAAAATAAACTCCGAATGTCTTCAAAAATAAAACACTTGTTGCGGATATAATCATCTTGTCCCGTATGTATCCTTGCGGTGCACTGCCCAAACACATGCAATGATAATAAGGACGACCAATATACATGCAACCGCGATCGACCCCCAATACGTCACCGGGTTACCCATCCTCTCAACCTTCAAAAACAGTAAACGAATATTCAAATATATAAGACAGAACGCTTTCTATGTGTTAGATATCAAACTATGTTCTATGTTGATCACAATGCATGGTATTTATATACAAAAGATGTTGAATGCAATATAGAATTTTTACAAAACCCTAACTATAGTATTGGTAAAATTTACATTTTCAATGCGTAACATATATGGTGGGAGAACCTAATATGGAATTTTGAGGAAATATTTGGAATGTTGCTGAGATTTATTTAAGTCGGTTACCAATGAATTCCCATATATTTGGTACATGCAAATTGGATTTTTTTCATAAATGGTTTTGAACAATCAATTTCACAATAGAAATTTGTATATTTCATATCGCACCGTATAAAGCTTTTAACTTATATGTTATTATTGTTAACTTAAAAGTATATTTTTGGGATTCAAATTTCCATTTCGCACATTCAAGCTGATTGGGAAAAAATGGAAATTAAAATTAAGGAAAGTGATATTTTCCATATCTCGGCCCCTTGTATGAAAATAGAGCAGCATGGCACTGATTTAGCCATTTTCAGCTTCTGGGTACTAGAAATTATTGCTTTTCTCTACGGAAATCCTCTTGGGCTCTCGTAAAGTCCCGAAGCTGACATTAGCCCTTATGGTGGAGATTTTCGTTCTATCGCTTATCGGGTAAGTATATATATCATCCGTACAACAAATTTGGTGGTGAATATGATCGATCTTGGTGATGGTTACGGGGTAAGTTTGACTCTAAACATGTACACTACTAGAAAACACGGAAAAGGTGACGCAAAATTTGTGTCACTAAAATGGTGACGCAAAAGTGACGCAAATAGAGACGCAATAGTTTCGTCACTAAAACGTCACTAAATAGTGACGCAAATAGTTCGTCACTAAAACGTGACGCAAAAAATAACGCAAAATTTGTGTCACGAAAAAAGGTGACGCAAATAGTTGCGTCACCCTTTTGGTGACGCAATTTAGTCACCTTTTAGTGACGCAATTTAGTCACCTTTTAGTGACGCAATTGCGTCACTATATCTGTATATTATTATTTATACGTATAAACATACAAATATTTATATATATATATATATATATATATTTTTTTATATATACATATATATATGTATGTATGTATTTGTACGTATAAATATACGAGTATTTACATATAAATATAAATTTTATATATACGTATATTATATATATATGTATTTATATGTATAAATATACAGATATATATATAAAACGTAAATTTTATGTATACGTATATATTATATATGTGTATTTGTATATACAAATATACGATTATTTTATATATAAATGTGTATTTTATATATACATATATATTATATATTTATATATATCATCATATATATGAATATATATATATAATCATATATATATATATATATATGCATATATTTATACATACAAACATATGTTATGTATATAAATATATATTTTATGTATGTATATATACGTACAAATATATACGTATATATATATTTGTAAGTATAAATATTTGTATATGTATATGTATTAATGTTGTAATATATCAGAAGTTTAAATTGGATCAGTTGGTTGCTTGTCAATTGGAACTCTAAAGTTAAGTGTGTTTGAGCTGGAGTAGTGGAAGGATAGGTGACCTCCTGGGAAGTGGATTTCGGGGATTCAATTTTAGAGTTTCCGATTCGGTTTAAGATCGCGGTTGGAGGTTAGAGGTCGGGAATAAGGTATAGGATTAGATTCGAGATTAAAAAAATTATTTTTGGATCCAAAATACGTTTTAGTGACGCAATAATTGAATCACCTTTTTGAGTCACTAAATAGTGACGCAATTGTGTCACCAAAAGGTGACGCTAAAAGGTGACACAATTGCGTCACTATTTAATGACGCAAAAATTGAGTCACTATTGCGTCACCCTTTGGTGACGCTTGGTGACGAAATCTGAATTGGTGACGGTATGAATGGTGACGCTTTTGGTTGCGTCACTATTGCGTCACCTTTTGAAAATGATGACGCAAAAATATAAAAGGGTGACGCAACTTTTGTTGTTTTCTAGTAGTGTACGCGAGCTTGAGGTTCACCTCTCCAACGTTTCTGTCATCGATCGTGAACACGATCTCGTCGTTGACGTTTCTGATGGCAGTGATTCTCCGTCTAGAAGCTATCGATCTCAAGAACCCTAGAGGAATCGCCAAGGTTGTGGGAACGGTCGTTTCCTTGAGGGGTGTGACCATCATGACGCTTTATAAAGGGCCAGTCATCGAACATCTGTGGAACCCTCTGGTCCGTCTGGAAGGAAACTTGGTTTTCCACGAGGATTGGCTCAAGGGTTCGATCCTCACCGTCTCCAGCTGCCTGACCTGGTCCATGTGGTACATCATGCAGATATATATAACTTGGCCCTCTTACCTAGATCTCTACGCAATAAGGTTTTTTATGTGATCTTTATTGTTCATATATACATAGAAAAGTCGTAAATAACTTAGGTTAAATACGGTATCTCCCATATATATCTGAAAGATCTTGTGTTTTCGTATAACGAGAACATTCTAGAAGTTTCTCAGGCGTATACATTGGAAAGATACTCGGGTCAACTCTCCCTCACGGCGTGGATGTCCTTCATAGGAGCGGTTCGTCCGCCGTCTTCACCGCCATGATCGTGCCTGGACCAGATGCTTGGAAGCTCCGACCCAATGTCGATTTATGGTCCACCATATACGGAGTGAGGAAAGCCTCATCATCTTCTTCTTCTTCATTGAACTCAACGGTAAATAAATAACGGTTTTTTTTTTCGTTTACTGTTGGTAAAAAGAGAGTAGCGGTTTCGGGTTTCGTCGTATTTGCTCAGCTATGGTGTACGGAACGGAAAGGGCCGGTCTTCGTGACGATGTTCAACCCGCTTTCCACAGTTCTTGTCGCAGTTCTCGCTTACTTTGTCCTTGGCGAGAAGCTTTACCTCGGCAGGTAGAAAAAAAAACATATCTGAGATCTTGATCTCATGCATGATCTCGATTCTCTAATGGTATGCTTTGCATGTTATATGTCCACGACGATCAATCTATTAGAGATTTAATTATTATAGGTAAAATCTAAATACTACGTAATGTTATTATATATATTTTTTGAATATCACAGTGTGGTGGGAGCAGTTGAATGAATCGGAATTCAGACAGGATCAAATGTCTGAAGCAGTTCCAAACTCAGAGCTATAGATCGGTCAACGAATAAATGTCAGTCCCGTATATTTTATGAAACTAAGTGTCGAAAGTGATCAACAGAGTTTCCGATATCATTTCAAGAATTTTATGGATAATTTTATTTTCATTTTTAATCATTTATCGAATAAAACGAGATACACTGTCTACAAAAATACTGTCATTTTAAAACTTTGTTAAGGTCTATTTTATTTAGTTTTTTTTTTACTACTACAACAATCACGTTAGAGAGCGAATCAAAACGCAAACGACGCTCGCCCATGGGTCTCAAAAACCAGTGGTCCAAGATTGGTTTTGGTTAGTTGTCAATTTAGATGGCCGAAATTGGGCTGGTCCAATCTGGTTACCCATTTGATGACAATTTTTTATTTTATTTTCTCACAATATAAATAATTTTATCACAATTAAATGAATTGGTCTCACTTTTCTTTAGCCGTTTTATCCGTTACATAATTTTATCATTAATTTTTTTGATAAATTATTCACTATATATATATAATATGAGAACAGAGCCAGCCCAGACAAAATAAATAAAATGATATATTTTATTAAAAAATATTAATTTTAAATTATATATTTGTAATTTTATTATGAATTATATTAAAATATTGATATAAACAATTATAATTTAAAAATAAAAATATAATTTTAATTATTTATTAAATATTGTATTAATAAATATTAATTGTAAACTATTAAATTCATTTAAATTTTTTTTTAAAATATGGACCTACCTAATTGTGGGCCTGTACTATGGGCCCTAATATTAAGTTGGTCAATTAACAAATAATAGATGCCAAAACGACGACGTATCAGAGATTTTTAATGTGGTCCTTTGAAATTGGACCATCACATAGATAGGGACCGCAAAGAAAAAAAAAAGGGAGAGTAAAAGGTTGGTGAATGGGCACGTGAGGAGTGGGTCCCCCAACGGGGCTCAATTTAGATAATAAATTTGTACTCATCACGCATGATCATTACTTCTCTATCTTGATTTGATTTAAGTATATTTCTAAAGAAATTTTTTTATAAAAATACCAAAATTTATTTAAATATACCATATAAATATTTCAATTTCGAAATTACTAGATAAATATTATACTCGGGATTCAGATAGCATGACTGTATATCTGTATTACATATACACATTTATGCATACATGTATATATATAATATTTTGTGCGTGTAGACATTTTTTGGCACGTGTGCGCGCGTCTGAGGATATTTATTGTACCATAATGTTGAATAGGGATACATGCAGGATAGGCTGCCCCAATTGTACCGTAAGGCTTAACATATTGTTTTTTTTTTGGATGGCGTAATTATGAAAAATAAATTACCAATTTTTACCCCGTCGGCGTAACATCATAATTCACGTAAGACCAACTTTTATGTGGATATGTTATGACTATTATCATTCTATATATAACCCAAGAACAAGTCTTACGATTAATTTGACCACGTGCCGAATTTCATATTACAATGTTGTCATTTTATTTTATTAAAAAATTAAAGAATATGTAATGATTTGATTCCTTATTTGCTTGAACGATGTGATCTTTTAGGTCATTAGTTTTGGTTTAGATTCAAAGTTTTGGACTGCTTCTTTGTCTTTTTTCTACTCAGCAGGACTAAGACGAGTGTGTAACAATATATTAAAATAGTTAAATTTCGTAGGTCGCTTATTGTGTAAGATAACTCATTGGCATGGCATGTCTCAATTTATGAAAATACAATGATGATGGCTTCGTGGGGTAAATAAATAGACCAGTTTGGCATGGGTTATAATAATAAGATGATGTATAATTATTTAATATAAGATGATGTATATTAAAAAAAATCAGTTGCAATTTAATCGATAAATTAAAATGTAAATTTTTTATCCTACCGTTGGTGGTCCACTGTGTAATAACCCGAATCCGATTTTAAATAGACAGGTCTTAAACCTTTAAAATAGACCATAAGATGTTGAAAAGAGACCTAGAAATCACCACGTGCGAATGGGACGAGAAAAAAGATAAGAGAAGAAAGAGATGACCATTTGGACCGACCGGTCTAGCATATAGACCGATCGATCTAGACCAAACGAACAAATACTATGGACCGAATGAGCTAGGTAACTTAGGGAGAGAAAACACGTCTGGACCGACCGATCCAGGCGCGACAGAAATAACCAGTCGAGCCTGCTCTCTTGGACGTATTACGGAAGTGGAGACAGGGCCCTACAGGCGGCAACAAGTCGACCTAACAGAACACCAATGCTTCCTAAGCAGCCGTACTCGATCCCAAACCTCTCTCTGCCTCTAAAATCCTCTCCTAAGTGTTGCATCTCACCATTATTGCAGGAGAAGTTGCAGAAAAGAGAAAGAGAGAAAGGAGAAGAAGAATGAGAAAGGGAGAAGGGGAGGGGGAAAAGAGCTCAGGAAAACAACAAGGGACAGTTCTAGAACGTTTGGAGGAAGTGCGACATCGGAACAGCCGGAAAGCACCACAAAATCCGGTAAAAAACGGAAACAAATCCGTTTTGAGGTGAGTGACTTGAATTACATCTGTGTGAGCTCATTTTCATCGTTCTTATTGTGTTAAATCGATGAAACTGGTGGATGATTAGAAAGAAGAAGTTTCAACAAACACTTAAAAACAAACGACACAAGATTTGGTTGTGAAATGAGCGAGATTTGAATGAATGAAAACTGAAGAAAAACTGAAAAATCGCAGAAACGCGAACTTGTTCTAATTACAGTAAATGCTAATAATTTCCCATAATTAAACTGCAGTATTTTGATTAATTGTTTTTTGGAATTGAAAGATAATATTCCAATGAACGTTTAAAAATAAATGGGACTCAATTTGGATAAGAAACGAGTGAGATATGAGCTAATAAAGTCGGATCAGAATTTGGAAATCGCAAAATCACGATCTGTTGTTCGCCTAGCCTCTGGACCGACCGGTCAAGGTGGAATTTAGCCAGACCACACTTTAAATTTGTTATAAAAAAATTATCAACTATTAATTTTTATAAAAAATTAATCATCTATCTACATAAATATTTTGTTTTAAATTTATTATAAAAATTTATAAAATTTAAAGAAAAAACATATATAAATTATATAATTCTAAAAATCACAATAAAAACATAATATTTATTTAAATTTATTATATTATAATATTTAAATTTTATATACATATTTATAAACATCAATCTTTATATAATAAATTTGTATACAAATATTATATTTAAAATTCAGTATATTTTATTGATTATAAATATTAAATTTAAAATTTTATTATATGTTAATACTTGATAGGTTGTAAATTGAGTATATTTTATTGGTTATATGTTTCTATATTTAAAATAGAATGTATTTTGAGAATTTTAAATAGTTGATAATATTTTTATTAAAGTGAAAAATTGTTTTTTAAAATTTTATATATTTAAAGGTTTTTTAATTAAAATTAATAGTTGATGATTTTTTATAATAAATTTTAAATAGAAGTCTTTTTTGTGTGAATAAAAAATTTGAAGTTTTTTTTTATTTGTCCAAAAAAAACATCTGATTCCCCTAAAAGAATTTTTGCAATGATTAATTTAGATACATTAACAGGAAAAATCTTTAAAACAAATTCCCGAGGGAATAAAAATAGGAAACAGAAACGGAATATAATGTGGGTCCCACCAACTATATTTCCAAATATACACGCCCGCGACGCGAAATCGGACTTGATTACAAAATAACAACTCGGTCGGCCCATTTATATGATGGGCTCACAATTTATATGGGCTTTAGATTTCGTTAGGAACGAATTATCCGTGTTTCTAATCTCTGAAACATCTTTTTGGTAAAATAAAAAATAAAATAAAGGAATAAAATATTACAATCTTTTTTTTTTTACACAATCTTATTGTATACAAGCTTTGTGGGTCATCATAATATATATATATAACAAATACTAGAAGCAAGAGCTTGAGTTCGACTCTGAAGTAGAGTAGTAAATTTTCATTTTCTGTTTCTTCCTTTAGGTTTAAAAAAGTTAAGAAAAAATAAATTTTATCCACATTTTTTTTTGTCATGAAATTCTATATCAATTAAGAAATTTGTTTTACGATTTCTCCAACAATAGAATTGTGATTCTTTATAACGATCGTGGCTATTTACACCCGTTTCTAATATTCACATATTATTGGCAAGGTTTTTTTTTTTTTTTATATATAAGAAATTGTCAAAGTTATTTGTTCAGTCTTTCATATATTTTATGAAATTAGAAATCGAATGTTAGATGTTGCGTGGAGGCATAGATTTGGACGGTCGTAACATTTTGTAACGCAGTGGAATCAAACTTGCTTACATGGGGGAGAGAAAAATAAATAATAATAAAAAAAACTCCGACTTTAAAACATTCTTATATTATAAATATTGGCAAAGCCAAATTACAACTATAACAAATATACGATTCCTTAACCAAACGAATAAAAGAAAAAAAAAATAACTAAAACATAATTCAATATGGATAATAGATGAAAATAAAAATAAAATAAACTCCGAATGCCTTCAAAAATAAAACACTTGTTGCGGATATAATCATCTTGTCCCGTATGTATCCTTGCGGTGCACTGCCCAAACACATGCAATGATAATAAGGACGACCAATATACATGCAACCGCGATCGACCCCCAATACGTCACCGGGTTACCCATCCTCTCAACCTTCAAAAACAGTAAACGAATATTCAAATATATAAGACAGAACGCTTTCTATGTGTTAGATATCAAACTATGTTCTATGTTGATCACAATGCATGGTATTTATATACAAAAGATGTTGAATGCAATATAGAATTTTTACAAAACCCTAAAACCCTAGTATTGGTAAAATTTACATTTTCAATGCGTAACATATATGGTGGGAGAACCTAATATGGAATTTTGAGGACATATTTGGAATGTTGCTGAGATTTATTTAAGTCGGTTACCAATGAATTCCCATATATTTGGTACATGCAAATTGGATATTTTTCATAAATGGTTTTGAACAATCAATTTAACAATAGAAATTTGTATATTTCATAGCGCACCGTATAAAGCTTTTAACTTATATGTTCTATGTTGGTCACAATGCATGGTATTTATATGCAAAAAGATGTTAAACGCAATATAGAATTTTTACAAAACCCCAAAACCCTAGTATTGGTAAAATTTACATTTTCAATGTATAACATATATATGGTGGGAGAATCTAATATGGAATTTGTGGAAGTGACCTGCGTTTATGATTGGAAATATTTGGAATATTTCTAGAAATTTAGAGATTTATTAAAGTCGGTTACCAATGAATTCCCATATTTTTTGGTACATGCAAATTAGATATTTTTCATATATGATTTTGAACGATCAATTTAACAATAAAAAATTGTATATTTCATATAGTGTCGTAAAAAGATTTATATTTCTGGGATTCAATTTTCCAATTCGCAAATTCAAGATGATTGGAAAAAAAATGGAAAATACAATTAAGGAAAGTGATATTTTCCATATCTCGGCCCCTTGTATGAAAATAGAGCATCATGAGTCTGATTTAGCCATTTTCAGCTTCTGGGTATTAGAAATTCTTGCTTTTCTCTACGGAAAGCCTCCTGGGCTCTCGTAAAGTCCCGAGCTTTTTCTTCGTCCTCACGGTTTTGCTTATACCTACTTTTATGTGGCCTTATGTTTCCTTTTTTGAATCACCGTTAATGGTGCTTCTTCGCTTACAACGCTAAGGAACTTCCGTACAGTTCTATATATAGAAAGAATGCAAAAGAAAAATGAAAGTTTGATTCTTTACTGTGTTCATAAGGATTACAGAATCTAAACTCATGTTTTCAACCGCAGAAATTTTTGCCCTTTTAGGTTTTTGTGTGATCTTGTTCATCTGTTTTGCTGCAATTGTTTATGCATTGAGTCAGAAGTGATTGTTAAACTCACATATCACTTGAGAATATCATAAAATAACGTAAAAAAAACGTTACACCCGTTCATTTTGATTCGATCCGAGTTCATTATCAATTCATGTATGATATATCGGTTTTTATATTATGTCGACTTGTTTAAGATTTACAAATATTAAGCTATTTAGGTTTCGTAAAATTGCATAAATTAATAAAATAAAAGCCTTACGGAGTTCACATAGAGTCACAAAGACACGTGATCTCTTGGTAAGGAGATCATACAAAATACGATGACGACACAAAAGACACGAGAATTGTGTTTCGAGTATTTTGCCGATATTAATATTAAATTATATAAATATAAAGATTTTATGACTTCGTTTATTTTTTGTTAGGTTATTTCGAATAATATAATATTAAATTCGGTATAATTTTGTATTTAGTATCATTTGGTTCATGCGTAATTATGTTCGTCTTCCGTTTCTTTTTGCTTTTGCTTTGGGTCACGCTTTATTTGTGTAATCAAAATGCGATTAACACGTTATTCACATAAAATACACACTTCCGTTAAGGCGCAGAGTGATTAGCGGAAAAAAAGAAAGAAGTTATATTATATCATTAAAAATACATGAAAAAGTTTTAGTATTCAAACCATATAAGAATAACAAAATGTTTGGATTAATGGTAATGACATTAAAAATGATTAAATCTTTTGGACTGCCATATATACAGTATGTAGAAATCTATTTTTTTTTTTTTGTAATTTAAGATGATGGTGTAAAGATTAGATTTGCACATTTGTAGGGATGTATATATACATGTATGCATGTATCAATGCGTCTATAAATTTACTTAAAAAAAACTAAGTATAATTCAAGATTCGATATGGCATTTAAGAGAGTAGAATTTAATAAATTTAAACCACACATGTTAATGATATTTTCACAAATGGCTTACACTTTCCTCTACTTCATCACCGAAGCTTCCTTTAACCATGGCTTCAACCCTCACGTCTACGTTACTTATCGCCATATCGTAGGCGGAGTCGTCACTTTCCCCTTCGCGTATTTCCTTGAGAGGTATGATTTCTATTCTTCGTTTGCAAGAAAAATATACATACGATATCGATGAACATGTACGAGAAGAAACTATCGAAAGATCGTTGAAACACGCTTTCTTCCGATAGTTACTTTGGGTGCAAGAAACGCAATAGGATCGTCTTTTTTCATTTGGTTTCTGCATTGACAGGAAGCTGAGACCGAAGCTGACATTAGCCCTTTTCATGGAGATTTTCGTTCTATCGCTTATCGGGTAAGTATATATATCATCCGTGCGACGGATTTGGTGGTGAATATGATCGATCTTGGTGATGGTTACAGGGTGAGTTTGACTCTGAACATGTATTACGCGAGCTTGAGATTCACATCTCCAACGTTTATGTCATCGATCGTGAACACGATCTCGTCGATGACGTTTCTGATGGCGGTGATTCTCCATCTAGAAGCTCTCGATCTCAAGAACCCTAGAGGAATCGCCAAGGTTGTCGGAACGGTCGTTTCCTTGGCGGGTGTGACCGTCATGACGCTTTACAAAGGGCCAGTCATCGAACCTCTGTGGAACCCTCTGGTCCGTCTGGAAGAAAACTCAGTTTTCCACGAGGATTGGCTCAAGGGTTCGATCCTCACCGTCTCGAGCTGCCTAACCTGGTCAATGTGGTACATCATGCAGGTATAACTTGGCCCTCTTACCTAGATCTCTACGCAATAAAGGTTTTCTATGTGATCGTTATTATTCATATATACATAAAAAATACGTAAATAACTTAGGTTAAATACGGTATCTCCCATATATATATCTGAAAAGATCTTGTGTTTTCGTATAACGGGAACGTTCTAGAAGCTTCTCAGGCGTATACATTGGAAAGATACCCCGCTCAACTCTCCCTCACGGCGTGGATGTCCTTCATAGGAGCG